TGGCTCCACCTGAAGAAATGTAGTCTAGCCTTCAACATGCCAAAGCAGTGCCACACAGATGTTATTTTGATAGCGTATACAAATATTTTACATTAGTTCCTTTGTTTTTTTATTCTTGATTTTCACCCAGTTTGGCATCTTATATCACTGTTTACACCTGGCCGGCATCAGGCTTGTTTTGAGTCACCTCACTCATAAACTATGTCTGATCAACCCTTTAATGGATGATTTAGTGATTATGCAACAGTAAAAGTCAAAGTATATCATGATCAGTTATGAATGAACAGTTGATCAAATTAAACCAGAAACATCTAATCAGTATCTAATCTCCTATGCTTTTTTTCTAAACACACATACATAGATAAACAGTGTGATAAGTATCTTTTGATGTTAAGTATTTTGATGTTTGTGTATGTATCTTGAAATTATCAGAGATGATATAAGATAAACATACGACATGCTTATGTGAACCCTAGAGTTTATTTGGAAATGTAGACTTTATGCCTCTTACAATCAGTGAAATGCATGCTGATATTGAATTCAAGTCACAAATACAATGGCAATAAAATTGCTAATGTCTTTTTTTTGTTTTAAAGTGTTACTGAAATGCATGTCACAACAAGCATGAGAGTACCTGAACATAAATTGAATGTCATAAGCTTAATACTATTTTTCCTATGTATCTGTCTGTTACGATATTGAAAAGCCAATGACATTTTCAATAGAAAAAAAGTATTAAAATTTGAGAACAATTGAATATTATTGCTAGCAAAAATGTGTAGAATGCAGAATTGTGAGACAGTGTTTTTAAATAAAACAGAATGTCATCTTTATTTATGCAAACACAGCTTTATTAGCTGCCTGACATATTATTGTGGTATTGGTACCACAACTTATTGTAGATCCATTGTCTAGAGAATGGTATGTACAGCATTTTTTCATAAAGTAAATACGGAGTGCAGATTAATACATTAAATATTGTTGTATCCTGAACCTTCTGGATCGAAGAATCTTAATCTAGGCTCAGAGCAAGTATCTTTACTGATTGAGCCACTTAAGAACCTTTGTAATATCTGCAGATCCAAAACAGTATACAATATGGTGGCTGATGCCTAAACCTTTTGTTACTTTATGCCACATGCTTTTTACTGAAAAAAGTAAATTTCTCTTTGCCTTTTCACTATATTCCTGCATTATTAAAATAATTTTGCATAAATTCCTACAGTGATGACTTCTGGGTTTTAAAGCATTACTTGAAAACTTTGGATTTTTCCTTTATAACGAGGAAGAAAACTAAGAGAAAAATGAGTCTATATTAAACATTTGACCTTGCATTTCTGAGTACCGTATGTCATGGTACTGTTCTTAAGTACCAGGCACTTTTTTTTCCCCAGAGGTATAAGTGTGGTTCCCTGGAATGCAGTTACAAAACTCAGTTCATCAGCATTCTGCTCTCTGCTGTGTTTCTTCTCCATGTTCATTCCAGCGTTCCTTTGAAAATTTGAAGCATGTGAGGCAGGAGTTGGATACTGCAGGCCAAAGAGCCCACTTATCTGAATTCCTTTTGGAAGGAAAAAAAAACAGCTCGAGCCAGGAATTTATTATTGAAGACAAATTTTCCACGCCATTTAGGGAAGGGTGTCACGGGCTTCAGTGGAACATTATGTGCCAGAGGAGAGACCACAGTAAGAGCCTGCATACAGTATGTAGGTCCTTGTGCTGCTGTCTGGCTGAACAACAGCAGCAGTAACTGTATCGTCATTGGTGAGAGGTTCTGGTCAGAATACTGGTCCCCTCCTATGTATCTTCTTCACAATTCTATTTCCTTGCTGCCAGGCCGAGTTTTTTCTTCCACCCCAGGAGAGGCACAGCAACAATATTTCTGTCCTAAACAAAGTATCATAAGCGACAGGTGAATTGAATGCAATTGCATGTTGCTAATGTAAAAGCTCCCTAGGTGCTACAGTATTTCTGTAAAATGTATTTCACAGAGTTTGGTTTCATTTTTATATTTCAGGTTTGTTAAAAAGAATATAAAATCTAGAAAGGTCTAGAAACCTCTTCCTTTGTATCCCTATCTTCACCTCATGGCCGAAGCCACAATGAATTTTACCAAAACAGTTTAGCTATCGAGACAGATTTCTGTTTTGGTTCCATTTTTCTGTTTAGTTTATCATTAGAATAAAAAGGGTATGTGGGATACCAATCACACTTTTGGAAACTACTGTTTAAACCTTGGCTCAGTGTGCTGCTTTTTGTGGTATTGACATAACACTGATACTTAAAGGAAGTCAGTTTCTGAAGTAATAATGAAAAATTGAAATAAAAACAAAGTATTGAATTTTAGGAATGAATGTGTTCTTCTTAAATACGTGGCACAGGCTCGGGAGGCTCCCAGTATAAAACAAAATGATCTGGCCAGATGTAGTGAATTATTCACAGGTGCATTGTAGAGTTATTTTAATGAAAGCTAATAGTGTTGATGGGTATATAGCAAAGATGGGTACAGGAAGGTTTCCCACAAGTTATTTTTACATTATTGATTTTCATCTGAATTTTTACAACAAACCTTACACAATCAACAGTATCTCACCATTATTTAATACCAGGCCAATAATCTATTATTGCTTATACCATGTGATCTGCTGCATAATGCTTTGCTTTTTGATACTACTGTACATTATGATGCTACTGTACTTTTTGATACTACTCTACTACTGTACCAGCAGCCAAATCACCCTGCAACTCACAACTGGCAACCCACTGAAGCTCAGTGGGTGTGAGCCTGGTCAGTACCTGGATGGGAGACCTCCTGGGAAAAACTAAGGTTGCTGCTGGAAGAGGTGTTAGTGGGGCCAGCAGGGGGCGCTCACCCTGTGGTCCATGCGTGTCCTAATGCCCCAGTATAGTGATGGGGACACTATACTGTAAACAGGCGCTGTCCTTTGGATGAGACGTAAAACCAAGGTCCTGACTCTCTGTGGTCATTAAAAATCCCAGGGCGTTTCTCGAAAAGAGTAGGGGTGTAACCCCTGCGTCCTGGCCAAATGTCCCATTGGCCCTTACCAATCATGGCCTCCTAATAATCCCCCTCTATGAATTGGCTTCATTACTCTGCTCTCCTCCCCACTGATAGCTGATGTGTGGTGAGCGTTCTGGCGCACTATGGCTGCCATCGCATCATCCAGGTGGGGCTGCACATTGGTGGTGGCGGTGGAGGGGATCCCCATTACCTGTAAAATGCTTTGAGTGGAGTGTCCAGAAAAGCGCTATATAAGTGTAAGCAATTATTATTATTATTATTATTATTGTTATTATTATTACAAGGATTCAGATTGGTTAGGATAGGTCCCTGAAGTGTGATAAATTTGCTTTAAATCTTATCATTTCTTACACTGAACAAGAGGAGGTGGTTTTCAAACCAGGGACTCTTGTTCTAACATTAGCATACTACACTAGTAGTACTAGTGAAACTGCTTTGTTAACCTTTATATCATATGTATCTGTTATTAATGTTAACAGCACATTTAAAAATACAGTATTAATAGAGCTGCACTACATTAGTATTGACAGTGGCAGCCACCAATCTCAAATTAGTTTGATCACCTGCACAGAAACATAGAAAAATAATATGCACATTTAAATATTTCATTAAAATAAAATAGTCATTCTTACCAATTAAAAGTGTCAATACATTATGTTTATTACAGCATGTCAAAAATGTATGTACCCTTCAGAATAATAATATTAAATTCATGGTAAATAGGACTAGAAAAACTGCTTCAATGTTCTACAGATTTAGTTATTTTTCAAACTGTTGACATTACTAAAACAACAGAAAAGAAAATTCAGTAAAGATGGAAATTTATCATTGTCTTTGAAAAAGTGCCAGTAAAAATGAGATTGTAGAAGTGTTTAATTTATTCACTAAGACAACTACAGTGTGGAATAAAACTCAATACATTTTTAAAACATTCTTGTCTTTATTCTTAATGTAGGAGAAGTTCATAAGTATTATTCAGATAAAGTATAAGGTTTTGGTGTACTTGCTAGAATGCAAAGCTTTTTTCTGTTTGGATTCACGTATTGTTTTTTATCTTAGTGAGACACCCTGGTACAACATCAGCTTTAATGTTAATGCGTATCACTCTTGCTTCAGTATTTCCATACATTGTACTGAATGTACTGTAGTTCTTTGTGGTTCATTAGATACTCAAGCTCTGCCTAAGTAAAACAGTGATAGTCTGTAAAAGACAGCAAAAAAATCAGGCATAATATACAGTATAGTTTTTAGAGCAACTTGAACTGCAGTGCACAAAGAAATAAGTGAAAAATAAGAAGATCTTTTTATGTTGCAGACAAGGTTAAATAGTTCATAAATTGTTTAAGGATGTTTAGAGAAAAGCTGCTTAATAGAAATATAGCTACAGTGGAGTCTGCAATGAGTGGAAAGCTTGTCCAAAACATCCCAATTTGTGCTATAAATTGTTATTGGAGCTTGTTTACAGAATGAGTAGGGAGCAAGCTTTAAAACATTTACCTGGCACCTGCTTCCTTTCTGAAGGCAAAAAAATATCTTAAATCATTTCCCACCATAGACTGTAGCAATTTAGTACACTTGAAAAGTACAATGACTACACAAATTCATAGGCTGACTAGTATGACTAGAAAATGTATTAAAGTATTGAAAACCCTGAAACAAGCCGAGGTCAACCCAGATTATTATTTCTGACTCAGCAAAAAACAGTTAAAAGGGAATCTGTAAAATCTGCACATGTGTGTAAAATTGAAGCAAGTTCTCCTTTCCCAAGGTGATAAGGATGTACAGTATGGAGAAAATGTGAAACCTGTCTTTTGAAGTCTGTCATCTTTCATAAAACTATATGACTCATTCCTTGAGATATGTTAGACATGTTACCCATAACCAAAGGGGCAAAGTTTGTCAAATAGACTGAGAATGTGTACTTTTGAAATTAAAACATTCTTTTTTTGTCTTGCAGGGAGAACCAGACGGTAGATGTACACAGGCCCAGCTCCTCCATCACCATGAGCACAGGTACAGTAGGTTATTCCCTCAGCTGTGTGGCAGAATTCATGATTATGTTGAAATCTTTTGAGAGTGTGGATGAATCAACTTCTCTTCATTCCAAAATAAATTTCCCTTATTGGTTAGCCTCTTTGGTCACTAGGGGCAGTGTGTTCTTTTCACAGTACCAGAATGAATGAATAGGATGTGAACAGGATTTGCCATATTTCTGATAAAGACACTTTTACAACCCAAAACAATTGCAATCACTCAAACTTTTTTAAAGTATTCTCATTAAAAAATGCAGATAAAATAATTCAATCCCAGGAGATCTTGACTCCTGTTAACGCTGACTCTATCTTTGCAGTTATTTATGTATATAACCAAACAAAATTCAGCAGTAAATTATCTTATCTTCACAGATCATGTGAATATTGGGGAACTTGATAACTTCTGTGAAATTTCTATCATATAATCACTGAGTTGTCTGCCTTAATCTCTCATTACTGGAGCTCTCACCCTGTCATTGGAATTAATAGTCCATTCTACGTGATATTCACTATTTTGTTATTAAGACGCCTTTACATTTATTGATGTAATTGAACCAATTTTAAACAGATATGTCAATAAACTTTATTTTTTCCTCTAGTATATATGTACAGGAACCTGCTTGTACAATTTAAGAAACAAAATGATTTGCTTTTGCAAAACAAAGCTGCATCAGCTAAAGAAATTAACAACTGAGAAGATGTCTTTAAAATTTATAAGCAAATCTTTAAAATAATAATAATATACACTGGTTGTCATCCCTAAGGGTCCTAAAGCAATTTACATCTACAGTAAGAGTTCCTGCACCACTGAAATGTGGCATCTCCCATGATAAAAAGAAAGAACGTGAGATAAAAAACAAATAGGCCTGACTTTTGTTTTGTTTCAAGAGAAAACATTAATTATTTTTTAAACTGTTAAAAGAGCTAAAACAGAGCAGTTTAGGAAATACTCAAGTAAGGCAAGTACAAGGAGTACAAGAAACCCTATGGTTCACTATGGCCAACGGATCCATGGGTTCAAAAAGAAAATTAAGGACAAAACATTTTTTTTTCCCCAGAAAATCCTTATACCTGTCATTGTTAACATAAATTACCCCATCTAGGAACAACAATGAGGTTCCTCGTGGTATACTGCTGGTGATTTTTTTTTTTTGTCCTCAGTAGTATTTGTAGCTTTCATTTGTTGATTAGTATACTGTAGGCTGGCCTTTCTCATCAGCTAAAAGAGCATACTGGTTTGTTTCACTCCACAATAGCCCTATGATAACACATTATGTAATGCTTTTGGCTAAAGCCTCTGAATGAACGAATATCAGGAAATAAATGGTTGGCACGGATTCCCCATGATCTAATCCTGCATGACTACTGTCTGTGATCTTTATCCCGGGAATGAATGTTTTCCACAAACTGTGATTTCCTCTTCTAGAAGGCGAGATTACCATCTCAGAAGCAGTTGTAAATGGGCTATCGTCACCCCCCACTGTTCATGAGCAGGAGAGGGGTGAGTCAAATGTTTTTTTAATCAATAATACCACAAATATGCTTTATATTCCTAGAAGTACCTCTTAATTACAGAGTCCTGGTATGTAAGATGAGAACTCCCTACAAAAGAGTGAAAGCATTCAGGTTTACTATAGTATAGTACTTTGACAACTGTGGTATAAGTAAGAGTTTTCTGCATGACCCTCTGTGGCAAGTCTTGATTTAAAAAGGCATCCTGTTAGCTGTGGAACAAGTAATAGGTTTATTCCATGCTGAAAAAAAGAAGAAAGAAAACACAACGTTTCGGCCCTGGAGCCTTCTTCATGTGTGAAGAAGGCTCCATGTGTGAAGAAGGCTCCATGGCCGAAACGTTGTGTTCTCTTTCTTCTTTTTTTCAGCATGGAATAAACCTATTACTTGTTCCTTTGCAGCCTGCACATTCTGACACAGCTACCCACCTGAACTACTACATCATGTTAGCTATGATATGATAAAGTTTGCGACTATTATTTTTCAGCTTGCTTTTGGCTGGCAATTTATTTATTTCAATGTAAATTTATAGTCACTTTCTTATAGCTGGACTTGTATTAAATTATCTCATTATGGGAAATTTGTTTGGTCAAGCTATTGTTAGATTCTTGTTCTTTTCTTATAATTAGGTTACTGTGCAAACAATCATTTTGTTAAAAATAGATCTTGAATTCCACTAATTAAAAAAAACACATGAAAATGTCACTGTAACATTTTAGAAAAATTGAGTGAATTCTAAGTAATAAAATCCCTAAATAGTGTTTAAGTTAGTGTATAGAAATGGTATTATTACAGCTTTTGCTTTGTGCACTTTGGCTGTCTAACCTTTTTTGTTTTGTTGGTCTGTTCTTAACTTCTTGTTTTTCATTTTCAAATTAATCCTGAGATCAGAGGTGCTTTGTAACATGAGATTTTCTTTGATTTTGGAGTCATCATATTTCACCTGCACTTTCACAGCACAGCATCCTCATTTCTACGTGGTGTCTTATGCAGAATTTATTTGCCTTTGTTTTGGATTACATGCTTGTTGTGCAAAATTTAAAATTTCCTTTTAATGAAGTGCCATTTATGTCGTCTGGAAGCCCTGTTATTTTTGTCTGGGGAGATGTGGTCAAATAAAGGAATTTCACTTGATACATAGAACTACCCACACACATTTAGACAACTATGTTAACACAATAGTGAGATGGAATAAACACTAACATATAACATTTTAATATTACTAGCAAAGGTGTGTGTGTGGTTATTATCTAGAAGGCTCAATGTTTAATTGCTAACTAATATTAACTGCAGTCACTGGTGATCCAAAGATTGCTGGCTAGTGGAATTGTGTGAATGTAGATTGGAATTGTGTGAAAGTAAGTGTAGAATACAGTGATTTATAGAATTTGATCAAACAGCGCCACCAAATGGAAGACAAAGGAAATAAGTCTCCCCTTCATTATCTTGAGTCAGGAGAATAATCATCATTAAAACTGCTGTACTGTGTAATTATACTATACGATGTGCTTAAATGTTGATTTGGAGAGAAATGGGAGTGTATTCTTTAATGTTCCAGTGCGGTGTACATTTAAGGTGTTAAATGGTTTTGTCTTGAAATGAAGCTACATCATTTTATGAGAGTATAAATGTTCTTGTTTTCTTATTATAGAAAGTAAATTAATTTAAAGAAAAAAAAACACCTTAAATGTACAGTCTACAAGAGTCATACTGAGTAACATTAACAATAACTTCAGTTGATAAATTCTCCTTGAAAAGGCATCTAATTGGCTTTGGTCCATACTGCATTCTGATAAACAGCGGAAAAAAATTCTGGTCGCTAGGAAAAATAACATCCATAGCAAGGGTAATGATATTAAGTTTCTGGGCTGCATTGTTTTCTATCCTTTCCTTTATTTTGAATTTGTAATTATCTGTTTGCAGATATAGAATTTCCCAAGTCCGGCATTCCATATAAAATGTACATTAACACATTACACGTTCATCAACCAAACAGCTGTCCTTTCAAACGGAGGGTTTACAGAGCTTTGAAAAATAAAAGTACAGGTGTTTAAATTCAGGGTTTGCATTATCCTGAACACATTGAACTGTGAACTACATTACATGGTCTTTGATTTAGTTCATTCAACAGCTAAGGCAGAACTGATGGTAACACAGAGATGCTTTAGAGAGATCAGAAGATTTGAGAATAGAGAGATGAGAAGATTATAGGTGATTTTTTTGCAGAATTGGATTCGTTGTCAAATTCTGTCCGTGACAGGTGTTTATGTAGAAGATAAATCCTGTTAATATTGTTTTTAATTAAGAACTAAAACCTGTTTGTCATGCAGACTTATTTTGTATACGTTATTGGGAAAAATAAATAAATGGTGAGTTCAGGTCAGACTTCAGAATATATTAACAGAGCACTTAGAAGCAGTACAATAAACTTAAGTGCTGAGGCTGGCCAGACTGCCTAGCATCTGTCAAATTTTAATTTACAATGTCACTCACATTCTTGTTATGTGGGAGAAATAAAGATATGTGATGCACCTTCCTTGATGATGCTGATAAGTCCTGTAGAAAGCCCTAGAAATTCACTAAAAAATTCTGGGTTTAATGATTGGTACAGTGAGTGAACTTTGATTTAGGTCAATGCATGAAATCTTACTGATAGTGTACTGAAAGCATGTCTTTCTGACAATCTTAATATTTTTTCTTAAATTTGTATTTGTTCTGTTGTCTTAAAACCTCCTACTCTACACTCCTTCCCTTTAGCACTTTTTCCTCTGCTCACGTCTGCTCTGAAATGCAGCCCCACAGCATGCTTTGGGTTGGTTGTCTTTCTGCACACTGTTTGCATAGTCTACACTTTTGTGTTTGCAGCCGTGGAAGGCCCTTTGCGTGCACGTGCTATCTCTGCCGTTAAAATAATCCCAGTGAAGAAGGTGAAAAGCTCTCCTGACCTAATGCGGGTGACAGGTACCCTTTTAAAACCCTCCATTGACCTTCCATAATGGGTCATGCTCCATTGCCATTATATGGACACCGCATGTTGTAACCATCTAATCTTTCCATCTTTAAACTCTCACCTCTGTGCTGCAACTAAATAATTAATCTCCGGTGTCATATTTTAATATTTCAGAGAAATGGAAGAAATGTAACTTGTGCAACTCAATGTTTTATAGATAACTACAGTATGATATCTTGATATTGGGTCAGTTTCAGAATTGGTACTGTATGTGTTTTGTACAAAATAAATTAGTAATGTGCTTATTTGGTGGAGTTTTAAAGTTTATATTATATTGGCAATTTTCTGGGATAGTTTAGTCACTCGGTCATCCGAGCAGACAGCCTGAATTGAGTGCTAAGTACCTCTCTTTAAGTGAGTGACCCTGGCTAACTGTTCATGTCAATCAAGGCAGTAGAAAAGGGGATTAGTTCATGTCTGGCAGATCATTTGACTGTTTTGAAAGATATAGATGTGCAGTTTGACATCCCTTGCTACCAGTTGTGTAGCCTTACAGTATGTCATAAATATAACGCTTAGTCTCTTTTGCTTTTACATCTCCTTTGTGAGCCCGGCTGTACAAAAAGCAGCATTTGGTAGTGAAATTCTAAACAGTACTAAAAGGGGAAAGACTTTTTTTTTATCTTGGACCTCTAGAATAGGACAAATCTGGAATAATTCTGAAAACACACCTCCATGTAAAGGTGAAATAGTTTTTCCCTTTTCCTAGTATTGTGCACAAATATATGTACTTGTTTTGGATTCACTAAATCCATTCATGGGTACTATTTATGCAGTGGCTTGCAAAGTGTTTGCAAAGATTCAAGATGGTTTTAGAACAGTTGTGTTCTATAAACATTAAAAATATTACAAATAGCCATAATAATAGTAAGATTTTAAGTAATTAGAATAGTCATGGGGAAGGTGGTGTGTGCTGGGGATAAGAACTGGATTGTTCCAAAGCAGCCAAAAGGAAAAGACTGCCTGGTAAGATTGCTCATCAGCTGTTTCGTACATCTCTGGGCCTTTACTAGAGGGCTTGCATGTGGCACTGTCCTCCTCTTAGCACTCCACCACACCAACAGTCAACACAAGGCAAAGGTCTCTGTGCTGGGCATCACTGAATATGACTTCTTCCCCTTGGCAGAATTTTTTTAGTTTTACAAAATATTAAGCATCATACAAGCATTTAGTAGTGGTATGTGAAGATAGTATTTGTTGTGCATATAGCACTGTTTTGAACAATTGAAAGGGTAGGGTCGCATTTCTTATTGGAAGAAATATATATTTAAATTGTTTCCCAACATGCTGGAAAATGCTGTGGCTTTGTGTTTTTGAGCTTCATTCAGTTATTTAGTGAATAGTGACTTTTTATTCAATGTGTGACAAAAGGACTTGAATAATGTGGCAAAACAGAAAACAATGGTCATAACTAACTTTTCTCGTGTACGTTTTTCCATTTACTAAAATAACCCAGGTCAGGAAATTATAGTAGAATAGTGTCTGTTATAGTATTATGATTACGTTATGTGACATAGTTGTAATTTCTTAATAATAGTGTAACAAATTGTGTGACTGTGAAATAGACTTCATGTTTTTTTGGATACAACTTTATTTAACTTTGTTATAACTTTATTTTTATGAAGTCAATAAGTGGGTCATACAAAATGTACAAGATCCAATTGTGCAAGATTAAATGTAGTTTGACAGTGTCTTGAACTTTTACAACAAATACAGATACAGTAGTAAAGAAAGAAAATAGGACAAATGCTGTTATCAAAGCAAGTGTTTTAAAGACAGAACCACTTGCTTTCATTTTAATACATAAAATATTTTTATGTTTTGTAAAGAAGAGGGGCACTTTTTAAGGTTTGTATTTTGTACATTTTCTGGTAGGTCTTACATCATACATCATTTGTATGGGAATAGCTAGAGAGGTCTCTCGCACCTGTTGAGGAGGGCACTTAGTGTTACACAGAGATCAGAAACAGCTGGCAAACCATAAGACACTGGTTCTGCACCGATATTCATCCTCATGACATTTGTGTGCATGTGGCAAACCATTTCTGATGTGGTTGTTGCAGAAACGCTCCAATAATAGAAACATCTCAGACACTATAGTTTGGAACACAGAACAGATGAGTGAAATTTGTTTTAAGACATAATTATATAGGGTAGCTTTTATTGCTTGATAAGGTGGCTGTTATTTCAAATCCAAAGATACTAAAACTAAGTTACCCACTGTGCTCACAGCTGTGATTTCTTACCGTGAAAAACACAATTTCGATGATACATTTTCACAGGAAAAAAGTACTTACAGATTATTTTCTGCCCCTCAGAAACAGATCCTTCCAAAGTGTGCTCAGGGAAAGGCGCTGTGACTCTCCGAGCTTCCAGTGCGCACGGTGACCTACAGACAAGCAGTAGCCCTCAGCCAGGCTCAGAGATCCATGATGCCCCACAGAGTAAGAGCCCTCTCCAGGCATATTTATCACACTGTAGAATCTCAGTTTTAATGAATTTATCTTTACTTACTTGTGAAATCTTTACAAACAGATTTACAGAGCTATTGGTGGCTATGGTCTATGTCTATATTTACATCAATGTCTTCAACTTGATGAATTGTTTAACATAATTTGTGATGAAAGATTGTATCAGAAAGTGGACAAAGGCAGATTTGTTCTTGCCAGTGTACATTATTTGTTGAGAAAATGATAGAAATGATTGAATATGTGAGACCAAAAAGAAAGATGTGCAATATCATAGTTAGACCTCACTATATTAAACCTTTTTAAACCTGTGTTAAGCCTGTATTAAACCTGCTGCAACCAATGACCATGAGAGTCTGGCTTTTCTGTATTTTAAAAGAACTAAAGTTGACTGCAGCAGTTTTTATAGGGCTCACAAATGTAACACTATTAAATGCAGAGTTTAGTATGGATAGGAGGGAAAGTCTAAACCATTTATCATGGAAACTATTTATCATTTAAGAAAAGGTAAGGTGCTGTGTTACAAAATGGGATTGAAGTGGGCTGTTATGAAACACAATGAACAAAAGGGTTCATTTTAGTCGAAACTTTTCTTAGGTACTTGAAATTGGCCAACATACAGTTTTGAAAGGCAAGAGAAGGGACAAAATATAACTAACTCTTTATCAAGCTTTTACTATTGCAGTGAATTTCAAGCATTTCACTCCATGTTTACTACTTGTTTTATTCAGACTGTAGTTTCTTTTGCATGAAGATTCTTTGAAATATTCTCCTTCTGCTGTTGGAGTAATACAAATTAATAACTAAGTATTAATTCAATAAATTGAAATTTTATATGTGATTTAAATTTCTGGAAGGCATTATTATAATGATTGATAACCTACAAAATACAGCTCTTGATATTTGCAATACTGAGGTATTAACTCTGACAAAATGATCTGACAATTACACATTTCTCAGTGGTCCTCAAATAATAACATAGATTAATTATCTGTGTTAATATTTATTCAACTTTCAGTCTTCCACAAGTGCTTTGCTATGGTCACGTATATGTTAATAATGTAAAACACTTTTTGTTGTTCTGATTGACTCATAGTGCTATTTGGAACCTGGAATCTGAATGCACAGTTATTTGTGGCATTCAGTGGGAATGTGGCCATGGTTCTTTTAGAGATGCCTTAATTGTTGCTGTGCCTTCATGAATAAAGGGAGCAGTGGAACAATCGTTCTCCACATTGCACTGAATGCGGGCCTTGTTGTGTTTACAAAGTTCACAGATTGGGAGGGCATCTTGTTTGGTGCTGGTTTCTATGGTAATTAGTGGCCCTGTCAGTTCAAGCCCTTACAGAAAGCATTCTGTCTGTAATAGAGTGCCCTGACTCTTTGCTGTGTGTGGTACAGACTAGTGACTTGTTCTTTTTGAAAGTAACAGTTTATTTCTCCCCTCTTTATTCTGGTTCAACACTTGCTGTGGAAAACAAACAGGTCCTGAGCCAAAAGACCCAGGAACAGGTACTTTTTTTTCTACTCAACTTGCTTTGGAATTTTTGGGTCATTCTGTTGGGATGCTCAGGTCCTCCTTTAATTTGCATGTTATGACCTCTGACAGATGGTTGGAAAACTCAGTCCTTTGCTGACCCTAATGGAGATACCAGCACTTCCTTGGCTGCTAAGGGCTATCGCAGTGTCAGACCTAATCTGCTTTCAGACAGCAAGACACAGTCACAGGTGAGTTCTTCCACTTAACTGCAGCAATGTTTTAAGGATGTGGCATTGAAACGTATACGTGTTAGTTTTGCCAAAAAAGGGAAGATGATACTTGAAATTGTCACTACTCGTTAAGGTTAGTTGAAAGTTAAATAGTGCCAGTTAGTGTATTCAGTTTACTTGCAATCAAATATTAATGTAGAAGGAGGAGTCCTGCAGGATCATTTTAACAAATGAGCTCTGTAAGCTCTTTTTATTTCTTACAAATTTCAGCACAAATGTAATGTGTGTTTAACCATTTTGTGTGATACTTGAAACTTTGTGGAATAATTTAAACAAATACTGTACTTAGCTGATGGACATGAAGACAGAAATGTGTTTGAGATTTGGATTTCTCAATAAAAATAATACCTAGTTCTAGTGTATAGAAATCCACAAGCAAATATTCAGGGTTTTAGAGTAATTCCTTTTTGAAAAAATTCAATGAGAAAATCTACAAATATAAACACATACGTTGAGAAATCCTTTTAAATTCCTTTTTACACAGGTAATGTTTATAAGTAGTTCCATTTTATGCATTGTAAAATGTCTTGTATAAATTAATGCAACAATTCGTTGCTAATGTAAGTAGGAATTGTCAAGAATGTTTTGTTACAGTTGAATATTCAACTGTAACAAACAGGTTGAATATGCTTCATTTGGGAGAAGGTAACAAAATCCATTAAAATTGACCTGGGCTAATTTGCTCCTTCGAAAGGGAAAAAAGCTGAACGGTTACACAAATAATTCAGATTGTTCTGTAATGTCCTTGATAAAATGCACTTATGTGCATTTACAATTTACTTTTTAAGCAGATGTATCCTCATTAGTATTATTGAGCTGCTAGAAAGTACATAAGGGGGGGGAAACTTACAGTAAAATATTGTGAAAAAATAGAGCTCCAGAATCACCTTATGCATAATGCTTTGCAAAAATGAATAAATCATAAGTTCCGTTAATTTTATTTTCTGATAGGAAAATATTATTATTAATCATGATCTTTTTTTATTCAATTGTTTGAAATACTATACAAACATAACAAAAATAAAATTGAATTTTCTAGTAGTTTTAATGATATAGAAGTCATCTCTCTCTAGTGAACAATGATGCAACTCGTTTGTGTTCTACTCTTTTTTTTTCTACGTGGTTTTGTATTCTGTGTGGTTTGTTCTCCTAAGAAAATACCCCCTGTTCCACCTCTCCCGAAAGAACAGAGCTTTGCATGGCGTTTCACACCTATTCAGGGAGTCTCTCACCTTAACCCTGCGTCAGCTACAGACCGCTTGTATATGAGCTACCCAAAACCTTTTGTGCCTACAGCGCCTTCTTCTGGCAGCAGTGGGCAGTGTTTTTCCCAGTCACAGGTCCCAACACCCAATGAGCGCTCTGTGTCTTTAGCTCCTCAAGCAATGTCACTGGCCACCACAAAGAGCAGTCCCTCTGTGTTACAAATGCATGCTGGCCAGACCACAGGACAAGCTACACCTACCCAGTCAGCCACACAGGCAGAAAGTGTTTCAGGGAAGACAGCAGAGAAAAAAATCAGCAGTCTTTACGTGGCTTGTTTATCTAACAGCACATGCTCACCTGCACCTAAGTCTCCAGTAAGTGTGCCCATAGCAGTGCAAGTCTTCCCTGAGTCCTCCACATGCTCAGAGCCTTCTGCCACTGCTGTGTGCCACCGCACGGATGACAGCCAGTCACCCCCACCTCCTATCCCCCCAAGACCTTTCTACCCAAAAGGCCCAGGGAGCTTCAGCCCTCAAAGAGAACCCTTCAAGACCAACCATCCGTCGCTACCAGACCACGGTGGTGTTGCCAAAGTAGATAATCACGGCATAAAATGGCCGGGGATGTTCTGGTCAGATGGGCCCTCGCAGTCCACACGAGCAAAGGGATCCAGCATGGTACTCTACTCCTCTGACTTCTCTAGTGCTACTTGCTAATACTTTCCTAATATTTCTTCTAGCCTTTTAACTTTTGTTTTTTTAATTGAAGTAACAAAAAAAACAGTTTCTGAGGTTCTCTGTTCATATGTTGCAGTATTTTCTTTTTTTTTTTCTTGGCTTGCAACACAAACATCCAGTTGTCTGAGAAAGTGCTGAGCTGAGGGAGACAGCTCAGGAAATGATTTCTGTTGTGTGGAATGGGTTTCTCAAGGTGTTCAGTGATGAATATGTGAATGACTCTTTTCAGCTCTACATACTTCTTGATGCATTCTGTCGTGACAAAGAGTGTTTGTGTATGGGAAACTGAGATCTCAAAGCAACAACTAAATTTCAAGATGCATAGCATTTATAAAAACACATACCTCGGTATGTGCAGTACATACAAAATACAAAGATGGGGGTGTAACTAATGTTACAGATCACATAGGTTTTTTTTAGCCTCAATCCATGGACAGCTATCCAGCTTTCTCGTCCTAACAGCGTACTAAGGCCCTTATCTCCTGCAGGACGATTCTCCTTTCCTTGTTCTGCCTGAAGTCCAACTAGTACCCTTGGACCAGGCTGGGAGTGCTGCACGACGAAAGGGCAGCCCATGCCCTCCACTGCCACCTCTTGTCCCCGCTGGCCAGGACAGCACCTTTCTCGAACCTGCTGGAGCACTGACCTTGCCAACACTGGACGATTTTATACCTCCTCACCTGCAGAGGGGAGCAGCTCGCGTCGCACCTCCTGTTATCGACACCCCTTCCCCGACTAACCTGCCACCTTCACCTCCAGCCCTCCCATCGGCACCGTCCCCGGCTCCCCTCCCCGTACAGGCCACTGAGCCTGCCACCACTCCTGTCATCTGCTCCGGAGCACCTACAGTAAGACAAGTGTGCCACTTCCTTCCTGCCCGAGTGGCAGCGCACAGATGTATCCTATTTTTTTTTCTGGTCTTGATCTTATAGAAGCCTGCCTCAAACCCTTCAAACTAAAAGCCTGCCTTCAAACAGAAAACAACGTCACCGCATGAAAACTATTTTTCGTTCCTTTTTTTAGTGTCAAACAGCTTTTACATGTTCAAAAAGAGCAAATACGTCACTTCTTTTCAGGGAGCATGATCCAGTAATTGACTTCTCCGCACTTTCCAACTGTATAAAATCCACTCTTCACCTGTGCACAGTATGCTCCATTTGGTATTTTAGAGTTGACACTGGTATCTGTGTCCTATGGCTTATCTACTGTGCTGTCATTCTGTGGTATGGACACAGAAAAAAATATTCTAAAACCTGAAGCCTTTTCAGTTTTGATTTACCTAAAAGTATTGTAAATGTAGTATGTACAGTTGTACATATAAATACTGAAACATTCTTGCTTGGTATTAAAACTGTTAGACTATTTTTATAACTTTTTCATGGGCAATATTGATTTGTTTTTTCAGGCTGGTAGTACCTTGTTTTTTTTTATTAGCAGGACTACCAAAAAGAGAGGGTCCAGTGAGAGTGGATTTTTTGCATTTAGTACAGTATATCCCTTTCTTTAAAGTCCTCTCCTGTTTTGCACTTCTTATTTGTGGCTATATGCAGTGGAAACCCTGGCGTCTCAAGCCAACTGAAAGACAATTTAACATGGCCGGACCCACTTAAACAAAAACTAACCTGTCTTGTGTGACTTTCAATGCTGATGAGGACTAATTGCAAGGGCTTGTGGAGCTGCAAGCTGATGGGAGTGACAGCCAGGAAAGCCCCGCTTTCTCATATCTATTAACAGGTCCTCATGTGGCCTTTCTATCATCTGTCTAATTTCTTCTTTTCCTGCTCAGCCACAGCAAGCCCGTTTTGCATATATGTGGCTGTGTTGGCGTCGCCTTGTCCCATGTACTCTCTGGCTGCAATGTTAAACCTGTGCTCCTTCTCCCTTACGCTGTCAGCTGCAGTAGTCAAGTTTCGATGTGGCCTGCATAAGAGCTGTACGTTTTGAGTACCTGCTGTGACAGGAATCCAGGCAGGCAGTCAGGCTGTCTGTGACATGCTCCCTCATACCATTCAGCTTGGCGCATACGGATGTTGTCTTCGTTTCCATTTTCCTATGAGCCAGAAAAGTATTTAAATAGTTCTAGTCTTTTGTTATTAGTGGCTGTGTGGGTACGGTTCTGAAAATTAAAAAAGGGTGCATTGTTTATTTTGAATATGTTATTGGTAGAACGCTAAAGAAAGAAATGTCTGTTCTCAATCCATTTTCCCTGTAGGCTGTCCCACTTCTGTCATCTGGTGTATACTTACTGTAGATACTTCTATCAGCTGTAGGTCAAACTCAAGAGTGTTTTTACTACACTTTTCAGGATCACATGCAAAAGTGCATATAAACCAATAGAATCTTTTTTTAAAGTCGTTACCGATACAGTTTTGAGGCTTCTTTGCTTCTATGTCCCAATTGTTGGTGTTCCTGATGCAAGAAAGAAAGAAGCACACAAAAGTAATCTTGAAACTCTTGACTTCTAACTTATGTTTATAAAGTCTTTAAATCACACTCTTGTCCTGGCCAAATATATTTTTTGTACAGTGCAATGTCATTCACTGTCATCAGGAAATATTTACAATCAAGAGGGAGGGTGTTCAGCTGCCATAACAGACTTGGAAAGGAGACCTATTTATTAATGTTTTTTTTTAAGTGTGATGGCCATCTGTGTAGAATCTAGTACAGTATATTGAATGATAATGGGACACGAGAGTGCATGGATGGATACAGACATATAAAACAAAGTTTTCTTATGTAATTATTAAAAGCTAAGAATATAAAAGATTAATGCTTCACTGTTGGGATCCTTTCGTGTTGGAAACCATGCTCCCCTTCTTGCATAAATAAGAAAATCAGGAAATAAATGATAAATTAGTCCGTGACTGGCAGCTTTTAGATTTTCCTGTCTGACCCCCCTGTTTGCTGATGTCATTGAGTCTGACAGTGTTGCAGTGGGGAAAGGACTTATCCTGTCTCAGTGCTCCTTGTGTTATCAGAATTTTGTTTCTGGTTATGTGTAATTTGCAGAAATAATGGAAAAGATTCCCGCGTGTAGAAAGGAATAGATTCAAAGGCCGAACTGTCAGGGAAGGCTACCCAAGTTCTGTGGAGGCAGACAGGCATCCTTCATGTGACTCCCTGATATCTGACTTTGTATTAATCTCTTAAGGTGTCGCAGCCTGTGAGCACCGACGTCTCTCCGCCCGCTCCCCAGTCCGATCCACACAGCTTTTTTCCATCAGCAGGCAGGCCCTCCTCTGGCTATCCTTCCACTACAATTGTCAACCCAACAATAGTGCTTTTACAGCACAACCGAGGTAAGAAGTGCAGCGGCTTAGTTACAGTGCAAAGTTGTGCCTGAACAATGTCATTTCCAGTAACACTTGAAATAAAAATTAAAGGATTAGGTTTTTTCACTTGAATCAAAAGAACCTTGTAAAAAATGTATGGAAAGAGTGCAGAAAAGTAACTGGCACTGCTCAGATTCTGTGTTCTCTTGCAGTAAATGCATAATGTTATGTTTTGCATAATATATTAAATTTAAATCATTTTGTTTTTTTTGTGTTTTATGCACCTTTACACTGTTGCTATTTTTTACAGTTATATACACTATATTGTTGTTATGTACAAGAATTCCCTTCTATTCCTAAAAAACCTAAATGATACTCAAACTCTTTAGGTGAAAGACATTACTTTTATAAACTAAGAGTGAGCATGATAAAGAAAATGCAGAAGATTTTTGAATAATACAACTGCCTCACTCCTTAATCTTAAAATGACAACTTTATACCCTAATGCTTCCAAGTTCCCTAATTTGTTCAACACCTTAAGATTACTAACCTAAAAACATGTTCTCACAATGATGGTGCTAAAGCCTGATGTTTTCTGTCCTTGAGCATATGCACTCTGGGTGAAATGCATTTTTCCTTAAATAGTAATATTTGGTGTTCATGTTTGCTTCCTGGTTTGGTATATGTGTTTCATTTTTTATTTAAAAGCTGTATTAAAAGGAGCTGTCACAAAACAGTATACATGTACTCAGATAAGTATCAGAAAAAAATACATTTTATTTATCAATAATTTATCAATCAGAGCAACAGATCTGAGCAATTTAATTTTGAATAGAGTGATGAGAATATACTGAATTCCCACCCTTTTCAATTGATTGATTAATGGCAGAATGTGAAAATGTGACAAATTAGTACTTTCTTTGAAATACAGTATGGCAATAAAATATAGTTATGTTTCTTAAAAGGGAATGGCTTTCAACCTTTTGAGGAGTAATGAGTAGGTGCCTTTGTATACTTAGGGCAGATCTAACACAAATCAGGAGACTGTACTGGACGATCCAGTATACATAGTTGCACTGTAAATTACTATTTAAAGATTAATGTGTTTCCTTTGCAATTGAACCTCTAGACTGTTACAAAGCCAAATCTAGAAAATGTAGGTTATATGATCCAAATTTCTTATGCAATGCAGAGAAGTACACTGGGACTGTTTTCTAGAAAAAAGGAAAAATATCCTAACTCCAAAAGAACAGAACTGCAATCACTGCATGAAATTTAGCTTGGTCATCTTCCAGATCTTTCTAAATGTTTTCAAAGTTTGCTGCATGCTATTTTGAATAGTGACTTTTTGAAAAGAAAATTACTGAGGCAGTCAGAGGACAACTATTTCACATGTGACTTTTGCTGGACTGAAACCCACAGTAATGGTGTTGACAGAATATAACAGGTATCCAACACATCTTTTGTCTTTGCCGTTCTGAGCTAAACAGCTGAAAGCTAAAAATACATGGGTTCCATTGTCTATGTAAAGTGGAATGATGCAATACAAAAAGAATGTCAGTTTGTTTTTCTGTGTGTCGTTTCATGATTTCTGTTAGTATTTTCTCCTGTTTATTTTCACGCATGTAAACATAATGATTGATGGTCCTCCAGAATTACAATATTTTGAATTGGCCTATAATTTGTTTTATTATGGTTTTCTTTTCTGAGCCTGTTAGTGTCCATGATGATGAATAGGTCTTTTTTTTACCAGATTTCCAAATAACCCATGGAGAACCAATCAGCTTGTGCTGCATTATATCTTGATATGAAATAAGTGTATCTTCAGTGCTGAAGTGCTTTCTTTATCATGCGTTTCATGCAACCATGAAATTTCTATTGTTTCTAAACCTCTATTTTATCAACATTTTCTAAGATGCATGAAGGACAAAAATATTTCAGCTCTGAAAATAGCACAACAAAAGCACAGCAGAAAAATCAGTGTGCATCACCTGAATAAGTTTCATTTTGATGTTTCCATTTCACTTTTTCTCTCTCACCACAGAGCAACAAAAGCGCCTTAGTAGTTTGTCAGGTATGAAGTGAATGTCTGGTAAACGGGCATTGCTCTCTGTTGGAGATATGAGCTTTCTCTGTTAAACTGGCAGGGTCCGCAGCAAACACGTACTTTTTTAGGAATCTTCAAGAGAAACTATAGTCCAAGGGAGCCTAAGATCAAATCTAATTGGGTACACCTTGGATTAGCATGGAACAGGCTGTCCAATCAGCGTTCAGAATGGTAGTGTATGTTCAGAATAATGTTCAGTGCTTCATCTCAATGGCATGCTCTAAATCTTAGCATTTTCTGACAAATAGAGTAACGGTCCCTCCAAGTAGAGTATAATATTCTGCAAGGTTTAGGGCATTTTAATTTCCAAGTCTTTTGTGGGCATTGTTGGATTGACAAAAATCTAAATCATTTGAGTTAAAGCTTGTTTCCCAAATAGTATTGACATTCCAGTCAAGTTTAATTTGAATCTTCCTGAGGTGATTCAGGATAACTCCTGATACACGATTTACTCAAACCTCTCACCACTAAAAAAATTGAGAGCTTACATTTTTTTTTATTTTTGGTCAAAAATAATACTTTGTAAGATTTTTCTCTTTTATTGTTTTAAATGGACCACTTAACAGTCATTTGGATGTTAAATTACCTCTTTTTCCTAGTTTAAGTGTATATTAAAATCCAGAGTTCTCTTAGAAGTATTTGAAATGGATTTAAAATGATTTTATGCAAATGAAATTTGTTTCTTTTAATTATGTTTCTAGCAAACATTGTGTGCTCTTAATAAGCTTAATAATATTAAAGTCCGCTTTTAAACACATATTTAAAACTGCTGAAAATATTTCTATTGGAGGGACCAATTTTAACTACAGTATATGCAAGTAGAGTTATTGCAAAACAAAAAATCATCCTTCCTGACTTGACAAAAGATTAGTACATTGAACTATGTGAGCCATGAATGTGTTGAATCGTACAGTCTGCCGAATCTTTCTGGACCACTTTTAAATGTAAGCTGGAGTGCTGCACTTTACCTTCTGAACTTCTTTTCTTAATGTGTGTTTGTCTATCTGACAAAATAGTGTGCTTAGAATATACGGATTGGTGTCTCATGATATTGCCCTCCACACTGTGCAGTATACAGTATATTGGATCAAAGTGCAAATATACTTTGAGCACATAGTGCAGAAAAGTTCTAAAAATTTTCTTTTAATGATTTGAAGCAAGCTGTTGTGCCAAGCTCAACATCATAATCTTCCATTTAAGTGGAACACCTCCTGAATACTTTGAATATTCATTTTATTGCAGGCTAGAATGCTGAAAATACATATTTATGTATTTGAACAGTCAGTCATTTTTAATGACCAACAAGAGACGATTTTCTGTTTAAATTGCCATTGACCACCCATGTGGTTTTGTTTAGTGTTCATTCGAAAAACGGAAAGTTTATGTTAACTCTTTTTGGAAGTAAAATGAAAGTACCTCTACGTTCTGCTGAATAATTCTGAACTTGAGCCTCGTAAACTCTTTTTTGGTTGTTGATTTTGCAAAAAAGTTAATTTGGTAGTTCTTTCTTTAAAATACAAATTGGAGCGAAGTATTCCAAGTGCTAATAGGATTTTTGGTTTGGAAGCTGGAGCAGTCTGGCATACAGTAGATGATTGAAAAACAAAAGCACCATTATAAGGGAGAAAAGCATATTATACTTTTTTAACTCCTTATTTGAGACTTAAGAAATTGCACGGTAGGAATGCAGAAGGGTTTTACAAAAAAACTTTCATTTTTGAAAGAAAATGTATTTTTTGTAATTTTTAATTGAAGAATGTGTTTGCTATGGGCACTGCCAGTTCAGATATGGACACTTTTTTGCACGTCTCTTTGCATGAGCTCCCTTCATTTATTTAAATCGTTTTTGGTTTCTTCAATGTTTCCCTTTGTTTGTCCTCTGCTGTACCTTCACCACAGGCACTATGCTTTCTTTTTTTGCATGCTTGTAAATGTTTAATGCCAAGGGATGCCTGCTTTTGGCTTTAGAATGTTACCTGGTTACAATAAAATACTGATGTGACAGAATGATCAGTTCAAACCTGTAAGAAATATAAGTAATATATACAAGCCTCCACAAAAAATAATGTTTGTTTGCTTTTGTACCGAGATATTAAAGTTTTTTTTAAAACATGCTAATGTTTCTTAAAATATATTTAATAGAGATTACCCTTTCTTATGGACAAAGCAGACAAACTTATCCACCAGCTTTACTTCAGATCACGTGCACATTCTATTTGAAGGTTTCACGGTATTATAGTTTTATTAAACCCTGCCTACCTGCTTTCTTTTCTCTTTAATAGATTTGTTCTGTGTCATCAGTGATTTAATTAGTTTGCAATGATTGAAACAAATAATTAAAAAATAACTCTAGTTTCTTCTGCACAACAAAATTGACGAAAAGTAATTTAACCTTTCATATTATCTAGCTCTTTTGTTCAGAGTGGATAAAAATGCCCATTACTCAAATACCTATGAGGAGTATGGGCTGCCTTATGTAACAAATATACAAGGAATTAGGGTAGGCAGGGTAACAGGATTTTTTTACCCTTAACCATGCATATTAACATGCACCTCCAATTAATCACAAGATTCAACCACATTAGGCCCTTCGACACTGCATTGCTTATAACCAGGAGATATCACTTCATTACTCTAAGAAACAGAACATGTATCTGACAATACATTATGGCTCTCAGTGTGAAGTGCTTATTAAATGGTGCTGTAGTTTTTTTCTGATGGTAAATTGTGGTTTTGGCAATTCTACAACTTGGACCAAATTGAACATCTCTGAAGCCCATATCCAGCAAATGTGTTTTTTCGTGTGTTTATGAAAGCTCAAGAAACAGGGGTAAAACCAATTTCTAATCAGTAATTGCAAATTTTAGCATATGTTGAATTAGACATAATGAACATGTTTGTCTTATGGAAGTGGTGTACTGTATGTTCATTAAGTCTTTTACACATTTTAAACTGCAACATAATAGTCTATTACCAGTACATTAAATTCATCTTGTGTCGCTTTTTTCACCTTTAAATCTCAATGGAAAATTATTTATTTTCTGGGGCTTTCTTTTTATATGTTATTCTTGAGTTTGTCCTAGGATTACCACAGCTAAAGCACTTCAGTCAAGTTTTGTTAAATGATGATTGGAGATGTGTATAAACAAGAAAGCCTTTCAAGAAAATGTTGTGTTTGTACACATCTCCAATTCATCATCACCTCTCCATATCAAGAAAATGTTTCACTAGATAAGTGTAATTTATTTGGATGACACCTTTATCCAAAGAAACATATATTTGTATCCATTCAAATACCTTGGTATTTTGCCGAACCAATTCTTTTCAATGTAAAAATACCAGCAGTGTCACACTCAATATATAAACCGTACTGCCCTCCAATCTTGAGTTTTGAGCCCAAACCACTTGTACTTACTGCTGTTGGATCTGTATTCCATGACTGGGAGCAGTGCCAATGGCCTTGATCATCCAGATCTCATTTCCCAGTGCTCTTTTGAGAACCAAAACCATTCTTCCTGGAGAACACAGCACCACACAGTCTCCGGTTCTGGAAAGGAAAGACAATACAGTATTGAGATTCTGTTGCATCAGGATTCAGTGTATTTAAAAAAATATTTCCCAGCATGCTTCCATGCTTGCTTGGGCTGACTAGGATCTGGTTGGTTCCTCAGATCCTGTGCCAGAGAAGGCAACTAGTCCCAAGGAGGGGAGTACAGTTTTGCAGGAGAGGGAACTTGCTGAATACCCCCAAAGTGGAAATACAGAGATGGATGGCAGAAGGATGAAGCTTGTCAGGTCTCCACAAAATGTTGGAATTGGTCCTGTGGATGAAATTGGCATTCCTCTGCGGGTAAGAATCCATGGAGGGTTAAGGGAAGTTCCATACTCTCTTTTTTTTCCTCATTATTTCATTCTTTAGAGTAGTATTTACTTACAACACATTCTTGTTTTCTTGGTAGTCCTTCTCTATTCTAAAGCAAAATGATGGTTTTATTCAGCATTACTAGGGGAGAATAGAGGTACAACACTTTTTTTATTTCGTGTACTCCTGCTGTGTGGGGAATATCACAGGAGGTTACATCTTTGTTTTGTATCTTTCTCTATATTTTGATTTCTTTTTGGTTTTTTCAAGGCTTAAGTTGCATATGTGAAATTAGATCCATTTAAATTAATAATCCTTGCAGTTCTTGAAAGTTTTGTAATTGTCTAGAACAAACCAGCCAATCTATATTATTAGTGATGATAATCTTGGATCTTAAGTCTTTGTTGTCATAAAATACAAGTGTTTTTCTCATTTCAAAACCTAGAAAGGAATTTTTGAATGTCTTAGTTTTTAATTGTTTTTAAGAAACTTTTATCTTTTATTTGTTTACCCAGAATACTGAGAGGTCCAAGGATTGGTATAAAACAATGTTCAAACAGATCCACAAAGTCAAAGGTAATGTACTATATACATGTAATAGTGGACATTGTATTAACAGTAAACTGTTTTGTATGATAAATTCTATTGCACCCTGTAATCAAATCAGATTCTTAAATTCCAATAAGACGTGACTGTAATTTAAGTATTTAAGTGTTTGAAAATAGTAGCCATTGATTTTAACCATGTCATGCTGATATTGAAGATATTTTTTCTAGTTTTAAAAATGCATATAAGGGATTTTTCTGAAAAAAATGAAGTGTATCAGAACATGTAATAAGGGGTTTTCACTTAAGGTCATCTAAAGCAGTGGTTCTCAAAGTGTGATCTGCGGACCACCAGTGGTCCGGGAACGTGCACCAGGTGGTCCCCAGGCTGACCTAATCATCTTTCTTAAAACGAGTCTACGCTGCTTAAGTCAGAGGAAAGAATATTGTAGCGTCTGCTACGAAGGGGCTCCCCCTAGGAGCACTGTTAAGAGCTGCAGGCTGTAAATAGTGGGAGGAGTGTGTTGGTTCTAGGTATCGGGGTTTCACCAGCCGTTAAGTGGACTGTGCGTGTCAGTAATGGGGCGAGCACCAGCCTAGTTGTAGGCTTGGCTGGCTTGAGGGTCTGCTGAAAGGGCAAAGTTTCCAATCATTCTCCTTGGCTCTACCCCTCTGTTGCCTTTGTGTTTTAATGCAGCTTGAGTTACGCCTATCGCTCCAATGTTTTAGTTTTATGCACCACGAATGAAATTATGTCACACATTGAAAACGAGTTAGTTTGGCGGCAACGTCAGTCTGTTGTTGTTAGTGATGCACGAAAAACCCGCACCCGCCCAACCCGATTTAAAATGATAGTGAATAGTAAAGTACTGACCTGAAGCTGTTCTGAACCCACTCCATTAGAAATTACACCGAACGATATTCGAACATTCATTTCATCAGCATTTATTGAAAAAGCATATCCAGATTCCTAGTTTTAAACAGACTAACTAGCTTGCCAAATGTCTCCCACCTGGCTCTTTTGTCCCTCCTTCTTCTTTATTTTTATCTCACCTTTCTGGAGTTGTGTCCTGAGCTGCTCTAATGAGGTTGCCATAATGTTTTTTTCTTTGTAATACACTGTTGTCTCTTAGGTTACGTTTTCTCCCACTTTGCCTTGTGATACAACCAATTGGGGCTTAAATATGGTAAAACGTCAGTTTAAACCTTTAAATCACTTTAATTTAAGATACAATTGATCTGTTTTCTGCAATATATTTGCTTTTGGTCATATTTCAACCCACATCCACCCAACCCGATCTAAAATATTTTTTTGAACCTGAGTCATGCTGCCCATCACTAGTTTGTTACGATTGCATGGGTACGCTGTTTACGTTTTGATATGTGAGTGTGGTTCGACCATTGCACTTATTATTGTTCGTACCATTTTGTTCTTACTTTTGAATATCTGACTTTGAGTTTGAAAGTTCACAGTGTAATTTAAAGAAGCAGTCGAAGCAGAAGGGTTAATATGGATCACTGGCTCAAATTGGACTCTGAAACACAAATATAGTGACGATAGTGACAGCGCAAGTGCGAGTAAGACGCAGAATAGAAGTGAAAATGCGAGTGAGGTAATTTGTGAATCATACCAGCCGTGCTGTAATTCTAATTCCAACAGTTTGATAAATGTGATGTGCAAGGAAGCAGAAGGTGTGCTTGATGTGATGTCTTCATCTGCTTCCGGACATGAGACTAAAGTTGTCCAGCTTGGATCCAGATATCACTTCACTGATTGCTCAACAAAAGCAGCTCCATTCTTTACATTTTTATTATTTAAGTAATTAAAAACATGTGCAAAATATGCAGCTTTGTTTGTAAAAATATAAGTACTTTTCATAAAATTTAATTCAATATTATTTATTTTTTAGTACATTAATAGGGGATGATTTTTACAGGGTAAGAAGTGGACGTAGGCATAGGTGGTCCATCGCATCTGTGACTTGGTGTAAGTGGTCCGTGGACCATAGCACTTTGAGAACCACTGATCAATAGAATAACAGGTTTTTACTAATGTAGTTCCACAAAATATTAAGGTAAAATCAATTGAAACTCCTGAACCAATGTAAGTGATTGACATTTTTTCTCTTTTCCTACTGCTGTACATAGTTTCTGACAGGGCTGTACTTTTGATCATTTAAAATTATTTCCACAAAATCAGCAACAGATTGTGCTCTGGAGCAAAATGATTTGAAATTAGCCTGGAAATATTTGCTTTCGCTAGGTATTATATAAGAATTCTTCACTAATTGTTCATTGCTTAACCCACGATTTGCAACACTGGCCATAAAAAAGCTACAGTGTTGCAGTTCTGATTTTTAACCCACTTAGGATGACAATGTCCATTGGTTTAAGTTGTCAACAGTAATGTGATCTGTGGCTGCTGTTTGAAGAGAACTATAATTCCTAGAGGACTGGGGTTCTTGAGAGACAGGATTAAAGTTGTACTACCGGTAGCCCTGGTCAGACCCTGCTGAAATGTTAACTAATCTCCAGTTAGGATTATTTGAAATTACTCTATATAAGGTCTACAATACAGCATGAGATTAAACTTTCATCATGCTTGTTAGGTTTGTTACTAGGCTTCATGGACATTACAGGCAAATTAAAAGTTGTCATAACAGTAGAAATTGATTTTCAGTACAATTGTTGTTTTGTTTTCAGTACTTGTTTGGTTAGAAATGAAACTTTGGCCAACAGCAATAAAATTGGAAAGTTATTTGTTCTAATTCCTGTTGTTAAAAAATAAAGTATTTGTCATCTTGATAAAGTGAAGGATGGACAAAATACATGTGGACATTTTTGCGTATGTATACAATATGTACATTATGATGAACTAATAATGCCTTCGATGTGCAAAATAATGTTTCAGGTGGGCTTTCACCAGTTTTTCCACTTCTTGTCCATGTGTCCTTCTCCTTTTTGTCTTTCCGTTCTGTTCCTGGCCTTTCGTCTAGATGTTAACATTTTAGGCTATTGGGTCTGAAGCTGGCACTGTGGAGGAGACAGAAAGTCTACATTTTGTCATCTCCTATGTTGGGCTTTGACAGTTCTCTGTAATCATCACGCTCTTACCTGCTGTCTCTCTCTTTTCTCTTTCTTAAACCTGCCGTTTCTGCTCAGAATCTCCTGAAGAAAACCCTTACTATCCTACCTACAAATTCCCAGAGCCTACCGAAAAGCCGATCAAAGTAGAAGGTACCACTGACTGCTGTTATCTCAGCCAGCCAGTGTTGCGAGTGTTTACTTTTTCTTAACAGCTATCAACCCTAGTATTTAGTTACATTTATTTGAAAACTCTCTATGGTGCTCATATCTTTAAATGACAATTTTGCAAACAGTTTCCTCATGATTAATGGAAGGAATGACATATCATGGCTGTAACTGAAACTATGTCTTTCTCTTCTGGCAAATTTGGTGTTCTACCATTCAAATGTATTGTTCATCTTATTTGCATTGAAGTAGTTTGGAAGTACCATACAGAGATAGTTTTGAGAACTATTAATATTTAAGAAACGACTAATATTTCTGTTACATTTTAAAAGGGAAAAGGCTTAATCTGTTTTCTTATCTCTTGTTAGCACTGCAAACTTTGAAGTATGACTTGATCTAAACCTTTTATGTGCATATATTTAAGTTAAAATATGCAGAAGGCTTAGAAATGTCTTCTTAGGACCTATATACTTTAGAAAATATGGCTATAAATAAAGTCAGATTGTTGTTAACACCTGTGGCAAGCAAGGTGATACTTTACAAGCTAAAGCACATGGAAATCTCAACATTGTTTAATGTTGTTCTAAGAACAGATAGACTTCATCCACGGCGATGTGCTAACTGGAGAGAAGAAATATAACTTAACATCTTAGTTGTTGAAGCGTTAGGTATGCCCAACTAACTTTATCATTCATTATCATTGTCTTTATATGTAAAAAGACAGTACATAAGTGTGTTGTTTTTTGCTGTCAGTTTGTAACCCAATTACAAAGGAACAGTAAAGAACAATCTGGAACTATTCAAATCCACTGCTTTTCTCTGCTACAGAGGAAAACCCTTATGCCCCTACCTACCAGTTTCCAGAGTCAACTCCTAGTTCAAAGTCAGAAGGTAAAACAGGGGGATATGCCACATTAATTTTCCTGGTTGTGGTGGAGTGCTGATCACATTGCTTAATGCTGTCTCCTTCTGATGCTTTGCCCGTTGCCCTGATGATGTGACGTTTTACATTTTGGTGGGCTTTGCTATGCTTTTTACCCTAACAACTGCAACTGATAACCCCCTGGATTGACGGTGTAGATTTGAACAGGTTCATTTGCTCTATTTTCATGTGCTTTGCCTTCAGCAACAAAATATATAAATGGTCTCTGAAGTTTTTCTCAGGCTTTTTGATTTCCTAAAACCGTACCTTTATAGCATTTAATATGACAAATAAAACTGATGTACATATAAAGGACATGTGCAGGACAAATGAGCTAAAGGAGAATTGCTAGAGAGACCTGATGGGCGTGTGGTACTTAATACATTTTAGATCAAGTCTTGATTTAGTAGATCTGTTAGTAGATTTAGTAGAACTGTTATGAATTGAGATTCAGAAAAATGTTATTAACATTGCAGGTTTGCTAGAGATGAATGATAATAAATGTGTAGTCTGACAATTAAAAACACACACTACTCCTTTGCCCTGTGTTACCTCACAAGTGGGAGCCCAGGCTGCTTAATTTTATATTTCATTTGCTTGTAAAAGAACCTCTTAGGACTATATTTCTGGAACAATTTTTAAAACCTTTCTTAAATCAAGACAATTATTTCATTTCAATGGGCAAGCAAGGGAGACTGTACTCCATTAAATTTTACCACTTCCATTTCACTTTCCACTTAGACATGCAATGAAAGGTTAAATGAGAAAAAAATGGCAACTGTAAAGTAGCTGATCCTACAAATAGGCAGAGGTGTGGTACGCATGTGCCTTTAATTTGTGAGACACAATCCTTCCTTCTTTACAGATTGCTTCCATTTGCTTGGTGCATTATAATTCTTAAAAAAACATGTTCTCTCAATGTTATGGAACACTGCAAATGTAGTTTGCACTGTCTTGTTTTGCCTTCACAAATGATCTCTTATGTGTTACATTTCTACATTAAGTCTTCTATTTCCCACAGAGAATAAACTTATATTGCAAAAGAAAGATGTCAAAACCTGCCTTTTGCCTTCATTTCAGTGTACACAATTGTGAAAAGGTCTTTTCCTAACATCAGCATTACTTCCATAAAGATGTCACCTGTTTTACTTATAGCACATCCTGTCATTCACATCTGCAAAACAGCCCTTTCCATCTGTTATCCCTTGTAAAACGTCACCATTACAGTAGTTAAGCCCCTCTGTAAATGATGTAAGATATTAGACCTGCAAGCATACAGTATAATGAGAGGCATTAAAATTACAACTAATGAGCATTGGAACCAGTACCGTTTGTTGTGTTTGTACTGTCTCATAGACGAAAAACATAGCAAAATAAAGGTACATCAGACTAACAACCTAATTGTTTTTATTAAACTTTAATTATATCAAGTGTTGTTGTATTGGGCATTTGCTATTGTCTTTATTATACTAATATACTGTACAGTGTGATACTGTCATGATACCTTACTACTGCATGGCACAGTTACTGTACATTGCAAGTATACTTTTTTGTACTTCCTCCTTTATTGCATATCTTTATTGCATATCTTCAGTGTATCCCGACTTTTTAGGTTTATCACTGCCATACCTTTTCTTTGGTATTATTTACATTTCACTTAAACCATATGAGAAGTCATACCTTCTTTGACTGAATTGTGAAAAGTGTGTTATTTGTATATACTGAACAGAGAGCCAAATAGTGCTACACACAAGACATATTTCAATTGAATGTAAAATAGTTTTGAATGGCACCAAGGTAATTTAAACTTGTTAACACATGTATTAAAATGTTACATTTTGGTAGGTACAAGAAACAAATGAAAGGTGTGATTTACAGTATTCCCGTTGATTGAATTCTCAGTAATTTGCTTACATGTGTGTGAGCTTTAGTTGATTGTTCAAACAGACAACTTGCATCCAATGTCCAAGCAATAATCAGGAAATACGGACTAGTTCTACATCATGTTTGAGCATCTGTTCACGTATTTTGGATTATAGATTGGCACAGTACTGTATATCCTGCCCACAATATGCCCATAAAATCAGGGGGCATCCATATAATTATTTTTTAAGCTGGCAGAGTCATTATCATGATCACTATTATTTTTATGCCTACCAAGCACCAGCACCAGTTCAGCTGGATCCACAAAATAGTCTACTTTTCTGAAATCCTTTGACTAAAGTATAAAAACAGAACAATTGCTTGCATGATGTGGGATGCATACAGTACATTTTCTCGGCATTGAGATGTGCTTCTGTGTCTTTTGTGGATTTCTTTTTTCATCCATCTACTCATAACTTTTTCTTAAGTTTCTTCTGTCTCTTTTCTTATCATTCTTAGTGGAGACCCCTTACATCCCAACCTATGTTTTCTCAGAGATTGCTAAAAGGCACTGTTCTGAAGGTACCGGTTTTAATTGTCAGGCTTCTTGTGTTTCCTGTCAAGCTCCCAGTGCTTTATTGCCATCATGTCTCATATCACCTTAACTCATTAAGAGCTTGGTGTTTGGATGTGCAATTTTAGCAGTGTGGAGGCCTGTAGACTGCTTGACAATGAGGATTCCAGAGGGGACAAATGCAGCATGTTCAACTTGGAATAAAATGGAACTTCAGATTGCCACTATGAATTATTCTGACTGCAGATCTAAACAACAAAGATAACTATTTTTATATTCCGACCCCAGACCCCAGCAGACCCCAGTATACAGTAAATGGAATATACTATTTGTACAGTATAGCAGAGTGAATATGCAATGGACATGGTAAAATGAAGTACTGTATGAGTAAGCACAAGCTAGAGTTTATCTCAGGTATTGCTAACATTTATTATTTTTTAATCAGAATGGGAATTTTTAAGATCAAAACATATTTGTAATGTACAGTACAACATACAAGTGCATTTAAATCAGCATAACAACTGTATGCTACAGTATGTGCATCTCTATATGGGGAACATTTTTAGAAGAACAGCTATATTCTCATCAACACTGTAAAAGTGGGGGCTGTTGAACTCCAGAGATCACTACCAGTGCCTTAAATCCCACAACTGTGCAAAACTATCCAATGTGCTGTGTTTATTAAGTACATATTCCCAACTTTATTTTAAAAACCTTGTATTTCCTTTGTAAAACTGTAATACATGGGACTTAGTTACTTGGAAATAATTACAGCCTTATTTACGACACATTTGGTGTTTGAATTTAGGTCTGCTGTTACAGTATATGAAAAGGTCAGTAAGGAATTTCTTATCCTTTTCATACTAAGAAAGGCGGGTTATTTTTGATAGTAACAAATCTACTTTTGTTAGGTTTGAAGCTTTAAAGGTTTCTTGTCTGTGTTTTTTGCAGATGATGATTCTGATTCAAATTCTCCAAGTCAGTCATATTCAGAAGATAGTAAGTGTATTTTTTAATTGTTAAAGTATATGAGAATTTATTATTGTTTTATTTTCAAATTTCACATTATCCCGAATTAGTCTCTTTTAAAAAAGACCACATTTTTAGCTAAGGTATACAAATAATTTCAATCGCTATTCTACTTATTTGTTTCCATTGGAGAAGACTGTACTTCATATTAAAGAAACATCCATGAATGAAAATCACTCATCCCTTTATGTGTGTATTTACTGTATCTTCCTTATGTTTCTCAAAATGGGTCATTCTTTGTAGTCTTACCTAATTCCTGTAACACACAATACATTTGCAGAAAATTGCTTTTGAAAGAGCAGGTCATGATGACACTGGTGCTGTCTTCCCCAAGTAGCTTTGGTTCTGGATAATTAAAACAGACCATGGAGGGAAGGAGGAAACTATTAAAGGCCATGTCCTTCAGATCTGTGTATCACAATAACCAGGTCATTTTATTACCTATCTCTGTGCAACTGCTTGGCAAATTCTTAAAAGGCAGTTATTGATTACTGTTGTTTCTGTCTTGTCTTTGTAAATTAATTTGATGTGCTGGCTTTACAGTGAGAAGTCAGAGTTGTGTGCCACGATCAAAAAGTGCAGGAGACAGTATTGACACTGAATTGGGAGTGAAAAGGTCAGCAACAGTGCCCCTGCCACCACGCACCTCCTCTCTCAAGCCCTCATCCGAAAGGTAAGTGTCCCCATAAAGTCAAACCATAACGTGCTTTTCACAACATGATTGGACCCTTTCCTGAACCAGAACTACTAGGTTTCTTTACAGAAGTAAACCTATTTGTTCTTGAATAGGTGTTGCAGAAAGCATTTAATCCATTTAAACCTTTGCTCCTTAGGCTCGAACTATCCATTTCTCTTACAGTTTTGTGTGTTCAATTACCCTGGCATTTTTGTGGCAATAAATAGGCAATTTTCCAACCTTATCTGTCATGGAATATCAAAATTATACTGTGTGACTAATGGAGAGAGGAGTGACATACCAATCTGATAAGCATATTTTCTTTTTCAGCAAAACATATTTTCTTGCTAAATCTCATCCTTTGCTTTACTAATTTAAAGAATAATTTCCTCCTGTTGGGGTGTTTCATTCAGTAATTCACTTAATAATTAGCCTGCATTTAGGTCTAATAAAACTGACTAAGCTTAATGTGGCACAGTACTTTTGAACTTTTAAGTCATTTTAACTTGGGAAATTGTGAACCAACTGTGTAAACTAATTGTTTTTTCCAAAAGTCAGAAATAGATTTAATATTTATCAAACAGTTACATTATTTTCAGTTTGAAATTGGTTTTGCATGTGTTTTTTCTGTGTCTGCTGTTTTTGTTGTCTTTGCCTTTTCTTGACTGGGATAAAAGTGTTTTCTAAAAAGAAATTCACGATAAGTAGTAATTCATCTCCTGAATGCATTTAAATCTCACGATCATGGTATCAAATACATCAATTCCTTAGGGTTAGTGACAGCTCTTGATTTTGTCAAAGATGGATTAGAAGTCATTATTCACAGTATTTATGAGATAGAAGAACATGAAAAGGATCAAAGTCAGATAATAACTTGGGTAAATTCTACCTCAATATGCAACTTATTGATGTATGTGCATTTAACTCATATGGTTATAGAACTAAATGGTTGTGTTCATGCGGTGCTCATTTTTAGCTGTCTAGCTGTTGAGACCATATCTGTGACACTAGAGTCAAGGGAGATTTGACTGCTCCCCAGTGTGTGTGGTCTGGGATCTCCACAAGTATTGTGTATTGATATTTTGGTAGCATGCCTGCTGCTTTGCCTATTGAAGGGGCCTCATCTCTAAGCTGTCAGCGGCTGTGGCCAGCCTTTGCTCCATATGTGCATGTAGCTTCTATGTAGCACCTCCCCATATGGCCAAGAAGAGCCCTAATAAATAATTCAACCCCAATATGCTGAAATATATTAGGTTTTGACAACAAATGATTAATGAAGAAGCTTTGTGTTGACATGCCTAATCCTTTGGCACAAAGTATTGTGCTGATTCCTAGCCATTTCAATTCATCCTGGCGCTTGGTACCAAATTTCTCTACTTACTGTAGCTCTGCAGGTATCATTTAAATTTAGTCTTTTTAGTCCTGCTTATTGAGAACGTTAATGTGACTTCTGTCGACATTGCCCATTGATTAGAAGTTCAGACTTGTTTTCACAACCTTTCCTTTAATTCTTCTGTTTTAAACAAAAAAAAAATACGTCGAAAGGCAGACCTAAGCATTCTAATCATTCGGACACTAACTATTGAAATTATGTAAATGAAATCCACACTTTTCCTGAGCTTTAGTTTTTGCATAATAGCTTTTATTTTGTACAGCGATAACGTCCACATCACCAAATGATGTTCACATCATCTGTTCTACTCTATATAAAGAGAATAAAATCCATCATACTATAGTAAGTAGAAGATTGTTACTGTAAGAGACCCTCCTACCTCCTCCCTTCCAAAATATGGCAATAATTGTCAATATGTCGTGTGATCATCCCGACCTGCAGCACAGACCCAGCTCAGAGATCTGGCCATTCCTGCTTAATGTTGTCCTTCAGTAACTTCTCGGCTTTTTATCATTGTTTGAAGCAAAATATTGAGCAAATTCTGAAATGAACCTAAATTCTACAGTAGTTATGATCTATATGTTGAACGTATAAACAGTATGGTTTTTAATGATGATCCTTCAGTGCAACACTATCTCAGACTTCACATGGTGCCTCAATGGCTATTTGCATGAACATTTTGCATATTGCTTTAAAGATTCTACCAATAAATTTCAGTGAAAAAAAGAAGGCTGCACCAGTTGTCTGCAGTGCATTCAATGTTAAATTACCATTTCCTGAATACTGGCAGTGAAAAGGAACTTCCAGCGTGCCTTATGAAGTGTTTCTGTCCATTAGAGCTACCCTGATGCTTTATCAGCAGCTGATCTCCACATCCTGACCAGCTGTTTAACTGTGATTAACCTTATGCTTGACATAATTGTAGATTTCCAGCCATTTGGAATTGCTTTGTGAATCTCTGAGCTGCTTTGACTGATACCAAATTCTCATGGCAATGATGTTTAAGAATACCCATGCTCCATCCTGACAAATGCTCTCCATAGTTCAGAAAATGACAGATAATTTATTACAAGATGTCTTCATAAAGAGTTTTTTAAATTAAACCTCATTTCCTTGAATTGACATCCTCTTATGCCCTGCACTTACAAACTGTCTCACTGAGCAGTTCGAACATAGTATAAGGCTGAGGTGAAATTCTTTAAATTTGCTGTAGTGTAGCTATGGCGTCATTTTTAAAAAGTACATATTCTACTGACTGTTAAACGGTTTTGTTGCGTGTATAAAAAAATATGCTGTAAACTTTTAAACAATGGTCACGTCTGGGTTAATGGTTTTATTTGTGTTATTTTAATAGTTTTATATTTTCCATTTTATTTACACATTCAGATAAATCTAATGAATGACCATAAAATTAAAAGTTTTTGTTTTTATTTATGTGACTATATAGGGTTTAGCTGTTAAAAATGAAGGAACTGATGGCGTAGAGAAACTGGCATTTACACACCTGAGGCTTTCCTTGTCATTTCGTTTCCACATGGTGAAACGCTCACAAGCTCAATTCACACCTCATTTTCAGTAATGGTCAAAACAGCAGGGAGTGTCTTTTGTTTTTTCCTGGCTGTTCACCCAGTGTAAAAATAATAAATGGAGGTTTTATGCAGAGAATTTCCAAGAGACCAGATTTCCTGCTGCACAGCCTCGGCACCCTGATTAAACGGGGATTAACTGTGGTGTTCAGGGGAGGAGGGGTTCATATGGGAAAGGGGTGGGGGTGGGGGCTTGACTGGTTGGATGGGCTGGTAAAGACGATATCCAAAATTGCGCTGGTTTCCATGGAAACAGACAGGTTGAATGTTAATTTTGTCTTGTCCTCCTCAGGAATGATTGGGAACCCCCGGACAAGAAGGTTGACACCAGGAAATACCGTGCTGAACCCAAGAGCATCTTCGAGTATGAGCCAGGAAAATCCTCAGTGCTGAAGCAAGAGAAAACGGTAAGGTGTCTCCGCCTCTATTCCTTCAGCCCCATTATTATACATGCCATACATCCCAGTATGCATTATTTATGTTTCTCAACCCTGCTTTCTGATGGATTGGAACAAAGCTGGTTTGATTGTGAAAGCAAGTAAGACCTTTGCAATTCTGTCATTGTTTTCACTGTATTTGAATCCAGGTATTAAATGAGGTGACAGTATTAGAGGCTGGGATCAAATTCCCCCTTTTCATTCACTGACCTAGAATGATTATTTTTGTTCAGTGATGGTAGATGTAAATGAGCTCTTTACATTTTCTGCTGGAGGGAGATGCATTACACTAGATGCATTAACTGGATTTTCACATCTCTGATTGGGGACAGCTTGTTTATGTTTTTTGTTGTTTATGGCAATTTTTTAAAGCATTTGTATTATTCCTTTTGCATCTTTTCTGTGGTGAAAAATTTGTTTTGGATGGGTTCGACAGCAGTTCAAAACTGTTCGTAACTACTTTTGAATTCCTTTGTAAAGTCATTCTAATAATTTAGGAGTCTTTTTTTCAATATTGCTAACAACTTCACAGGATCAGACAGGAGCTTGTGTTTGATACTGAGCTGCTATGGTTCACCTGTTTTGTTCTCATAGCTCTAGACTGTCTTCATGGGCAAGGGGGGCAGAGATTATATAATATTGTGTACTTATTATGCAGAAAAAGGTGCTTTAAGTCATAGTCGGCTTTCATCACTGCCTTTTATTTAATCTTGCATTTATATAATTTTCCATAGTTTTATTTTTTTATTTTTGTTCTCTTTTTTACTTTAAAATCAATCTGTTTCTTTTGTCATTTTGGAAAATTGGTTTCAGATGTTCCTTAAGGAATTCTTGTTATCAACGGCAAAATGGTAGTCTGCTTCTGCTGTAACTTATTGATGGTGTTTAAGAGGTCTCGTACACATACAGTGCTGTACACTAATAAATACAGGGGTCCCCTTACATACTGCATGATAATTGGTTCAAATTTGTAGGCAAAATCAAATTGGAAAAGAATGCCAAAAGGAACGGCATCAAAATATATGTACTCTGTGATTTATGTTTTGCCGTGGAAGTACAGTTTTTTGTGTGCAACTGTCTGAAAGGAAGATTTCCCTTGTTTTACTTTTATTTGCAGTTTATCTAAGATATCTAAGAGGAGACCCTTAACTTTTCTGTACTTAAATGCCTTTTGTCCTGAAATGCAGCTTTCTTATTTGTTTGATGACATCATAAATATATTCAATAGTAATGTTCCCAAGCGAGGTATGCGGTACTGTATGTATTTTAAGGAAAATTAAGTTGAAATGTGTTACCATGTTTGTATTGCAGGTGCAAATTTAACAATTTCTGTCTGAAAAGCAGATGGACAGATACATATCACTGCCATTACAATTCCACTAAAATAGTTTTTAAAGGACAGTTAGGTGACAATAAAAGGTTATTCGTACAATATTATATTAATATTATAATGAGTTTGTGTTGTGGTACATTTATGACTATGAATGTGTTCCTACAAGAATGAAAAGAGTGTAAGTGTTATAGGCAGTGGAATACCTGTAATTAAAAAAAAATGTTTTTTTTCAATTGTGCAAAAAACATTAATCCATCTTTCAATTATTTGCATGTTCTGAAAGAACACCTTGCCGAAAGAACCCTTGGATATAAGCATGATTATTCCTCGACATCCTAAAGACTTCAAGTCTCTACTACTTACATAGTTGTTAGTAAGAGGAAGGAAATCCATGTGGATTCAAGGAATCATCCTTTTTCGTTTGGTGCCTGTTTCTGAGCAGATTAGCTCCACTATCATCTTTAGGAAATACAAACTGCTTCAGGAAGGAAGCAGTCTTGGGGCTGCAGACAAAAATGGATGGTGACTGGCATCCTGGTAAGGAGTAAAACATGACAAGCTAATTCAAAAATAGATCACCTGAGACCCTTTTTCAAAATCATTCGATGTGTTAAAACACAAAACATTCATGCTGTTAATTAAAAAGATTAGAATAATAAGTAATGATGTGTATCCAAACAGTTTGTTCTTTCTTTATTGTATTTCAGCTGTGTAATATTTTAGAATGTATTGGTAACCTTATTAATGAAACACATGGTTCTTAATGGTACCTGGCGGGGGTCTGTAATGTATGAACCCCCTTTACAACTGTATTTTAGTTTCTTTGTGAGGGGTTTAAGAATTGATTATTTTGTTCAGGTATCAGGGGCACATCTTTGAACACCTATGTGGGGCCATGGAAAAGTGTTATGGAGTGCAGCATGTTACACTCTTTCAGGAGTGAATTGCAGTACTCTCAAGTCACACTGCATATAGTAACTTACTGTATTTGTAAATATATTGGCTGAACAGAACAGGTTAAACTTAGAATACCCAGCAAGGAGCCTTTTACAAAGTGAATCAAGCACCTGTGTGATCATACTGACTGTAATATTCACAGCATGTTTCCACAGTCAAAGTAATGTCCATCATTTTGGCAGCTCTGTTAAATTGTGAATTGGATCAGCCATTAGCACTGCAGTAGACTTGTGGAGAGTATGTCTCATGATGTAATAATAATAATAATAAACTTTATTTTTTATAGCGCCTTTAAAGGTGGCTTCTCAAAGCGCTTTGACAACAACAATAAATAAAAATAAAACACAAGATAAAACACAGTTACAATACACAGAGGAGACTGTGGTTGGTGGTACTAAGTATAGTAGGAGCAAAGGGGTAAAGAATGGAACCAGTTAAATAAAGGCTCTTCTAAAGAAGAAGGTTTTGAGTCTGGATTTTAAAGAGTTTAGAGAAACTGACTTTCTGATATCCTTGGGGAGAGAGTTCCACGGCTTGGGGGCATAATAGGTAAAGGCCCTGTCACCCCTAGAATGTAGATGGGCTTGGGGGACAGGAGACCAAAATGAGATGAGCGAAGGTTGCGAGGTGGGGAGTAGGGCGATAATAGTTCAGACGGGTACTGAGGTGCCAAGCCATACAGAGCCTTATAGGTGAGCATGAGGATTTTAAAGACCACACGGAATTTGAAAGGAAGCCAGTGCAAGGACACCAGGACAGGAGTAATGTGATCAATTGCACTAGACCTGAACAGGATTCTGGCTGCCGAAATTTGGACATACTGCAGTCTGTACAATGTAGATTTAGATACCCCAGCGATCAGTGAGGTAAGACTTGAACCATTTGAGAGCAGTGTCAGAAACTCCAAACACAGTCTCAAGGCGAGAAAGTAAGATGTCATGGTCAACAGTGTCAAAAGCAGCACTGAGATCAAGAAGGATATAGAAAGGGAACCAGAATCAGAAGCTATTAGAAGATCGTTAGCAGTCATTACGCATGAATTTCTATAGCATGTGGACTTTTTGATTTGGACCTGCTAAGATATGTGGTCAAAATGGGGCTAGCTTTCATTTTTAAAAGTGTTTTTTAATTGACATATTCTGAAGTAAAGAGCAATCTGGCCTATGTGAATTCTAGGGAGGATGCAACATGTTAAGTTCGTCTTGCATTGTATATTAATTATTAGCTGTTGTCAGCTACCAGATTTATTGGTGAGTTTCAAGAGTCAAGCTTTCTTTAAATTTAAATTCTCTCTGGAAAGAGTGGCAATTTAATGCCATTAAGACCCTATGATTGCAAAAGAACAGTTTACTTTTAAAATCATAAACACATCTGAATACATAGTGTCATAGGGTATAGCTACACCCAAGCTGTGTGCTCATTAATGGCTGCAATTCAGTTTCACTTATGCTGAGAGCATTTGATCAGTTTGATCTTGTCATTGAATTTTTTGTGTACCTCAGAATCATGAAAGACATCCAGCTAAATGTGACACCATCTTAGGTTCTAAGTGAATTCTGTATAGTACTTATCCACTAGTACTTTTTATCCATGTAAAATAAATGTTACTGTTGTGCAATACATCTCCACAAGATGTGAATCTTAGTAGCGTTAAAAAGTTAAACTGTACCATAAAATGTATTTCAGACATACTTCAAAGGTAAAGGGCCACATGCAACTGAAATTTACTCATTCTAATTCTCAGGTGTGTCTCAATAGACTCCTTGACAGTGTAATTAAAGCACTTACTGGATGAAATTACCCTGCAGTAGTCTTTTCTGTTTGATATTTCAAAAATAAAGGAATAAAGTTGATCCTTCAGATCATGCTCAAACCAATGCTAGAGCAGTACAATCTAAATTTCCTGAGCTCAGTATTCCTTGACTGTAAGTAAAATTCCAGATGTTTTTTTAAACTAATCAAGTGTTGCTGCTTAAGATTTTGCTGTATAACCCTTGATACAGAAACATAGAACAATCACATTCTGAACCTTTTTTGAAGTTTGTTCTTGATGTTACAGTACATGCTTTTAGAAGTCTAAAATTCCTGAATGCATTTCTACTTAACCACACATTTTGCAAAAATTCAGTAATATAGTTTGAAGTGATATACATCACAGAATCTTCAGTGAAAATAAGAAAGTTTACAAATGAGGCCCAACTAGCCCGTTTGGTTGCTAGTGTTTAATTGGTGTGTGGATCTTTTCCAGCCATTTCTCAAAAGAAGTCAGGGCATCAACTTCAAATTAGAATCAACTGGATAATAAGCAGTGTCAGTTTTATAAACAGATTACAGATCACTAGTTCTTAAATTCTGCATATGAACTTACAATGGTGACAAACTGAAGGATTAATCACCATTCAAGTGGCATTTTATCTCAGTAAAGTTCAGGATTAACTTGCAAACATAAACTTGTATATGTGACATTTAACAGCCTGCCACCCAGTGTTTGACCTATTTTCCTGTGTTGCATTAGAATGTAGTTCCATTGAGAGCCCACGTCTTCTTTCTAAACACTTGAAAAGAATGTTTCATTTTCTGGTGTATATTGTTGTCTGAAGTTGGGAAAATCAAGCAGTACAGTTGCTCTTTCCCGTGAACCTTTCACCTTCCTGCCATCTTTGATTTATTACATCTCTACCTTTTGTTTCTCAAAATCATGTCACGATGTACTATTCATTCTCTTTGTTCTCTGTTTCCAAATGAATTATTTCTGGGTACCGCTAAAAAATGCATTCACTTGTTTGCACACTTGCAGATGTCCAGAATTAGATATACATGCATATTAATACAAATGCAAAGGGCCATAGTAAAATCTGCCTTGAAAGAAAAAAATAGCATTGCAAAACATTAGCAGTGCAAAAAATGGACTGAAAACTGAAAAAGCTGTCCTTTTACTCTGTACTCAACCATCTTCTTCTCTCTCCTTGTCCTCCTCCACCTTCCTTGCTACCCTTGTAGACTCGGGATATAAGCCCAGAAGAAGTAGATTTAGAGAATGAGCCTTGGTATAAATTCTTTTCAGAGATGGAGTTCGGAAAACCGGTAAGTCTTGTGGCTAAACTGTAACGTAACGTCTCAACACTGTTCAGGGTTTTTTTTTCCCCTTTGTGTAACCTGTGCTTTACAGAAGCATGCCATAAGAGTGCATATGCTCCATTCCCAGACCTTGTTTGTCAGTAACTGGCACTTCAGCTGTCTTTGGTGTTCCTGGTTTTGTCCAATACCCCTCTTCTTAACCAATACTTACATTTGAGGCCAACAGGTGCTTTCCAGTCTCAGTTTTTAAACCTTTTTTATAACAATAGTTATGGGGTTTCCAAAAAGGGTTTGTAGTATTTAGTCTCTTGCCTCCTGATTTTATTTTAGCTCACTGGACTTTAAGCATTTTCTCATTGTTCATTGCTGGAGCAGGTTGGCTGGTTCCCCCATTACCTGATCCTGTTTTTTTATCATTTCATTTATTTTACATACAGTAGATACCCATTTATTTTCCTTTTGAAAAATAAAATTTCAGTTCCTACCTGGAATATAAGGGACATTTATGCAGTTCTGCAATAAGCATGATCAAGAAGCACAGCTATTACTTAAACTTTGAGAAATAAAAGGTTTTATTTTTGTATTGTCACTTAAATATATTATAGCATATGGAGCTACAATAATTCTACCAGGCCAAATGCATCTTAATGACAATAGAAGCATTTTACTCACAAATATATCTGCTTCTAGGAGTCGGCAGGTATTTAGAAGCCTGATTAATGGATAGGTAATTCTTTCTAAATTTATTTCAGATATATGAATTGAGTTTAAAATATGTAGGTAGTTCATAACCTACATTGCATTTTTTAACATTTTTTCAAAGTTTAATGACAAGTTATTTAAACCAGCAGACTGCATGATAATACATTTCTTGTCCAAGAAGAAACTCTTTAAGTAAGACCAAAAGAAGATGAGATTTCTTTCTCTTATAAATGAACCTATTCATTTCTGCAGTCTTAAAGTACAGTACTGTACATCACATTTAAAACCAGAGATGAAAGTCCAAAGTATATATGTTAATGTATGTAAATATTTTAAGTTATAATCATTTTTCCTTGGGGTTAGTACACACACTGGGGGTTCTTCTGTATTGGATTACTCTTAACCTTCAGCCACTGAAAACATTCACATCTCCACAATAGTGTGCTCAGTTTGACATCCATTCAACTCCTCAGATGTCAGACTGACACAAAGTGGTCCACCCATACATCAGCTGTGTGTGTGAAATTCACCTTGAAGGAACAGCGGTAGTGCAGTCCTGTGCTTTTTTTCCCAACAAACTAGAAGCTCTATTTTAGATCACGTAATGTGGTAATTGAGCAATATAGACTAAAATACGAAAGAGCATCACATTTAGTTTCAAGAAGTAGAGAGAAAGGAATGAGAAGACGGTTTAATTCCTTTATTGATAAAATAACTCGACATAAAAGAACAGATGCGCTGAATAATATGTACCCGATTTTCTAGTTTTGCTCTGTGTGAGTCTCTTTGTTGTTTACCGTTTTGTGATTTTTTTTATTTTTAATAAGTAGCATAAAAATATTTTAAATGTTAAGAAACAAAGGTAAACTTTACATAAACCTTGCATATCCACTGGAAAATGTAGTTTGCAGTGGACACTAGGCTGCAGTTTAAGGCTGTGTCCTGATCATTTATTTTGGAACCTTAAGTCAGCCTGAATTCAATCAAAATGCAATAAATAAGATTGTGAGCTATTAGTCAAAATATCTTAAGAAAGCCATGGCATGGTGTGAATGTTCTGGCAGCAAACATTACTTAGAATAAGTATAGGCACTGGTATTTTTTTAAGCAGAGTTGAGCTGCCAACATAAATGCCTCCTGTAATGGTAAGAGAAACTTGGGATGATGCATCTGAAATTAACATCAGAGCATGCAAACATGACTGAGATCAAATATGTGAACAAAAAGCAAAACCTTATAACAGTTTGTTCCCATTACCTACACTGCTGTCATGGGAGTCCAGCCCTATATCAATGTGGTATGTATACAGTCCTATTTCAGACCCTCTATTCTTCCTTTTGCCATTGTCAGCCTTTTCCCACTTTGAATTGACAAAAACGTCTTCTCCCTTGCACCAGCATCCAAAAATGGATTCAGCTGCATAACCACTTATTTAGTCTCATTTGTGTGTGTGTTGGGATTTTCATACAAACTTGCATTGCAACAAGTCAGGATGTTTCTCTCCCTGTATATCAGTGCCGTCTATTGTTTGACCTTATGTGAAAATGGGCTAGGGGGTAAAGGTTGTCTTATTTACATCACCTGTAGTTTGGAAGGAACAGTGTTGGTCAGCTCTATCTGAAGGCAGTCTTTATTAAATGTGTTCCACTGCTAGTTACAGTTTATTTGTAGTTTACAGTGAAAATCCCAACATGCTGTACAGGATCAGGAAAATAGCATACTGAGAACTTTGAAGTCGAGAGGGGTAATGTTTCAATGCCAGCTCTCCTCTTGTACTGTACACTTGGATTGCCTCCTGCAGCCTCTCTATTTGACTCTTAATCAGTAACTTTGCCCACCCCTTTTTCCTCTTTTCCTGTTTGCATCCTGAGCAGTTCTCGCCCCCTCCCACCCCCTCCCTCTGATGTCTTTTCTGTTTTCTGTTCATTTTTCCTCATTTCCTCCTCTGCTTCCCATCAGCCTCCAAAAAAGATCTGGGACTATACTCCAGGGGATTGCTCTATTCTTTCTCTGGAGGATAGGAAGGTAAAGCTGTCTTGTGCTCATGATCCAAAAGTGTTTCTTCTTCTTCTGGTGATTTTTTTTTTGTAAGGCATGTGTGGGTGGCTGATACGGATTTCAAACCACAAGCATTGATCAAGGGGTTATGTGTGAAAAAGGGGTTTTGAGGGGTGACTTCCTCAAAAAGCTCTGGTTTGTAACAAAGAACTTGGGAGAAGTTTGCTAAAATATTCAGTCTGCTGCAGGTACTCTGCACTCATTCTTATCAGTCTTTTTGTGTGAAGTGGTTATAAAAGGAAACATTATTAAATTATTTCAAGTATTTTTCAGGAATGGCAGCACCTGTTTTTAAGATTCACAGTAACTGTGATTATGCTGGATAAATAAAAGAATAGTAAATCATTTTAATTTGGATGGAATATGCTAGTACAAATAATTGTCCTGATAATTTTTGTTTTAATTTATTTTGCTTTGAAATGCAAATTATGTTTATTTCTAAATGAAACTAGGCTTTTATGTTTTAGTAAAAAACAATGCTTTTAATTAACAAAGTCTGTGCAAAACGTATTGATTCCCTGGATCTCCTCACAATATACAGTGCACATCCATTGCTTTTACTCTGTTGTGAAAATGTGTACTGATGCACATTGCCTGTGCTTGCTATGTGTTCCCTTGCCATTAACTTGCATTCCTGGGGCTGAGCAAAATTGCACAGCAGGTCTAAAGCAAAACACGGGAAAACATCTGTGAAACAACTTCAGTTCTGCAAAAGAGATCCATTCTTAAATGGATCCAAAAGAAATGGGTTTATTTCCACATGTCCCAATATGATCTATTAAATCTGTTGTATCATACAATTTTCATAACGTTTTTTAAAGATGTATATCCAGTTATATACATAACTGATGTTTCATCAGGCATTGCAGTTAATGCTGCGGCTTTAAATCTCTTGAGCCCTTGATTTTTTTCCAGAGTTCTCATGTGGATCCCGTGGGTTTTCTCCAATTATTGCTGTTTGGTTCCATACTAGGAATAAAGTGGCTTTCTGAATATTGATGAATGAAGTTTTGTTAAATTTCAAATTATTATTTGAAAAGAATCCCCAGTTCACTCACATGGATTCCTTGTATAGTGTTCTATGAAATGCTTATTTCTTGTTGTGGTAGAGTGTGAGCCAAAGTAAACACTGTCCGCAAAAGATTGAGTGGTTTTTGAAGAGACTGCAAAGAAAGTGATAGGAGTAACTCAGTGGCTTCCTGGTTTCCTTTATTTCTGACTGGATTCTTCCTGGTTTATTTCTGACTGGAATCTACAGTCAGCACGACTCCATATAAGTAAAAACTAAATTGCTAAAAACACTTTGTCACCAGCAGACATTATCACACTTCACAATTAACAGGTTTAATAATTAGTTGCCATGGTTACAGATCTCCCAAGTAGCATTTATCTTTTAGTGCCTTTCTTGCTTCAGCTGACTCATGGGGTGGATGTTTTTATTTAGTATATCTTCCAGGGTTGTTTTTCCTCTCTGTCTCGGTATACATCTGGTTCGGAATCACATTCACAATAGCAAAAGTTTTGCTTGTAAGCTCTGCAGAAGTGAAAAGGAAAAAAACAGCTACTGCGAAAATAAGTCAGAAATACTAACAGAGCTTCTAGATATCAAGTAAACCTTAAAGAACATTTAAAACAAAAATTAATTCTGTTTGTCCCATTGCATGTTTAAGGAAACATGATAGAAAATATCAGGGCGTCCTACCAATAGGTTGTGAAAGATTTTTGCTGTGACACTGTACCAAACCCCACATGATGTAGCCAACTATAATTAGAAATGTACAGTTTAACACCTGAATAAATTAAATTTGCATTTACATGGTAAGACAGTCCAAAAGACTTGCTCAGCCCCCGGTGTTTGTGACCTCTGTTCCTGGAAACATCTAACTCATCCTCTTAACTTCCTAACCCTGAGCATTTTTCCCTTCCTTCTCAAATCAGGACCTGCTAGAGAAAGATCTCTACCGCTACCAAGCCGAGTTAGAGGCAGATATAGAAAACATGGAGAAGCTTTACAAAGCGCAGGATAAAAGACTGTGGAAGGTATTACCTCTTCCTATATCATGTCACGTTTTCAAGTCTTGTTGGACTTCAGTGTACATGCCATGAGGAGTTAGCTGGTGAAGAAAACTGTGTGTCAGCCTGCAAACGGTAAATTGAGGAAAGCTGTGGAGCAGATAATTTATTTTAGCCTCTACTTAATATTTCAAATAGTTAAGTGTCTCCTAATGCTTACAGTGCTGCAACAAGCATTGATTATGTATTGAATTTCTGAAACAGTAGTTGAATTCATAAAGATAATAGTAACCAGGTGTATCAGGATTGATAATTTTTTACTATCTGTCCAATATAATACAATAAGTTTGTGCCTAATATAATACAGTTTCTTTTAAAGAGTTACTTAATTTTGTTAAGAAAAGAGAAACATACTTAGACTATTAGAAAATACTTTCTGCTTGTGTAGTTCCTGAAGGTCATTTTAATCCTAAATCTGCCGATGGTCTAGATAAAGTCATAAAAAACATTTTATATTCATATTGGCTTACAGATAACGTCATCAGGAAATTTTCATCAAGTCCTTTTTTGACTGACCAGGCTAGTTCTCCTAGCTTTAATAAACACAAATATATATCTTCCAGGCTGTATTTTCTTTTTTGATCTGACTTTTTTTGTGTTGTTCTACTTGCAAGAGATCTAGGATAGTTTAACTGCTGTTTGCCTGGTTGCTCTCATGGCTGTTTCACTCCACAGCTGAAAACTAGCTGACAGCTGTAATGGGGGAAAAAGGAAAGAGATGCAGGAGACATACAGGCAGGGGGGAACAGAAAATCAAATGTTTTATGGTAACTTTCTGTTCTCAGTTGTATTTGTGAGTAAGAGGCTATGATAGTACTGTATATTACCTCAGACCTCATGCCAGAAAAAATATTTGTTTTATGAAGAATGACATTGTAAATCATCAGCTTCTCCTCACTACTTCTATATCCTGTATAAAAACCACTGCACCACAGCTGTGGCTGACAGCACAAGCTCCTGTTGATTTGCACGTTGGTCTGGAAATAATCTTATCTGAAATAATTAAAATAATTTGATCTAGGAATAAGACACTGTAGAAGAAGGGGGTTGTAACACATTTGTTTGTGTGTTTATTTTTCATTTGTGTTATAACTGGTCAATACTTTCTTTGAGAAGATAGAGAAGATTTTTCTAAGTTTCCCTTTTCAGCATGCTGAAAAACATTAACAGAAATGGTCTATCCATTATTTGCACCGCAAGCCTTCTGCACTAAACACAAAATGCTTAAATATGAATTGCATGAACTGGTAGTTTTTCCCATGAATCGAATTATTACAAAAATATTTTTTTTGTTTATTCCATTATGTTGCAGAATCAAATATTGTGACATTATTTATGTTTAAAAACTGTACTTTTGTGGCATCATGTTTCAGTCGGTCCAGCTTCTTCCACACAATTCATGAATCATATCATGAATTTAATCAGTTTTTGGGCTTGGGGTTGGCTGTAAGTGTCAGCATGTGTGTTTTGTCCTGCCTGTTCTTCACCCGGGTTGTGTATGTGTTTGTGTTGTAGTCTTTAATCTCAGTGACTCATTCATAGACAAAAGACTGGGGGCACTGCAAAAGACACTCAACCACATTGGCTACACCACAGTCAGTCCCTCCCTGCAACAGAACCTCACAGGCAGCAACCCCTTCAGTCCTTGGCTTGCTTGCTTGTTCTGCATGTGGGCAGCACACGCACTAAATTCCTGCTGGATTAAGCTGAAGCCTTTCTGACAGAGCAAGACAACAGGCTCTGGCTAGAGAGGAGACAATAAGACAACACCAGCCTGGCCAAAGACGGATGCTTTTTTCCCCCTGTGTGAAGCATCCTCCTGTGGGTTTGTCAATGACTTCTTTGTCTGGTTTGTTGCAGAGTGCCCCTTTCAACCCCTTGGAAACTCCAGACGATCTCCAGCAATAGTAAGTCCGGCACTGGTTTGTTTTTTTTTCGCTTTCAACATCTTTGTTCCTGCCTCTAATCTATGTTAGTCTGTGTAATTACTTGCAGCAAAGTTTAGATCTACTGTAACCGCCCTAAAGAGATTTCCCGTTTGGAACTCTTTGCTTCCTGACACTGGATACAAAATGTACTTCAGTTAGCCTTTTAGTGCCGCTTCTGCTATTTTTTCCTCATTCTGTTATTATTTATCTCTGACAGCCTGTCATACTACTTAAAATTAACAAAATGAAGAAAAAAAACAACACACAGTAGTGTTTTGTTGTCAGATTAGTGAGGGTCACTGCCCTGCTGTACTGACAAAGCCCCTCAGATGGAAAACTGCCTGAAGAGTTAATCTCCATGAGACCCATACAGCTGCAGGGACTAGGGAGGCTGGTTTGGGGTGTTTTTTTCTTTTTTGTTGATCTGGAGCAGGTTGAAAAATGGGAACTGGCTTTAAGCATATCTCTGGTGAACAATATATTCCAATGTACCTTGTTTTTTTATTTGTTTTTTAAAGGTAGATTGCTTTTTTCTGTCTTGAAGAATGCTGGTTCTGTATTTATTTGGCAGCAGTAACCATGTTTTGTTATTGCAACATTGATTGTTGTAAATTCATAACAAGTAAAGATTTTGAAATAATCAGTTATTTAATTCAATTATTTTTATTACTTATATGGAATGTATTATCCCTTTTGTTTTGAGTATTCTTACAGCTCATAATGTAGTTGGTTTATTCAAAGCAGTAAAGGGCTGCTATATATAATGTGCCTTTTTTTCAAATGTGTCCTTACTTGAGATGAGAAAACAGTTTTGTCGCAACCCTTGATAGTCCATGTAGATTCTGAGCTCTGTTAGTATATTTACTAGTATGAATCAGTATTTACACATTTATGAATTTATGCATCCCACCTGAGTTTATGCATCTCATAAGGGGAATTCACAAAAGACTAGAAGTTAACCTAAAAAATAAGTGAAATAAAAAATAGAAGTGTTTTAAAAAGGCTCAACATATTAATTAAAAGTGTTCAGTGAATAAGATGATTATGTCTTCCTGAATAGTAATAATATGTTTTGCATTTAAATGTTATTAAATTGTTTTAATAAAAACATATTAAATATTATTTTAAATTTTCCTAAGGATCCCACTGCAGGTTTCAAAACAGAATAGAGTTCTTTTGGTCCAAACTTAATAAGAAAATATTAAGCTTGATTTTGCAAATATGTCTTAAAGTAAGTCTACATTATATTTAATTGTGCCTACACTTGGTGAAACACCAAATTTCCAGTCCGACAGAAAGTTCACTTTCATGGCCAGAGGATTTTGAGCTTAGATTCTTACCATGCAACCTAAATAAGATCAGGCAGTCACCTCTCAGTAAGTTTCTTTTGAATGATAATTTGGCTTTTCAACATCATCTTTTAAAAAATTCATGGACATTTTTAAAATTTAAATATCTACCTTAGAATGTGTCTGTTTTTTCAGTTCCAGTTAAATATTTCCATTTTTGAACAACATGCTAATGACTAGATGACACAATGGTGATGGCACAGGTGTTGTTTTCTTTGCAAAGCTTACCCTCTAAAGCTGTAAACCAATAAATAATAAGTAAAAGATTAAATAAAATGTGCCAAGATCGGTAGATACATATTTAGACATTACTTTGTAACCTATATAGCTTTTGTTTCACTCATTGTAATGTACAGTAGGGATTAAGCCAATAATATCCTCTGAGTATTATGAATTAAAAAATGATGCTATCCAAGTAAGTAATCTTGTCCTAAATCATCTTGCTTCCAGATTTGTAGTCTTGTTCCTTTTCTGTGATATTACAACTCATTAGTGATGATACCTTTATATTCTCTGCAGTTTTAATAGGAAAATGACAGACTGAGGAGAATGAACCAGAGCCACATTTCACCACCCATTAAATAGTCCAAACCTGACCAGCATGTTAATTCAGTCTGCCTATTAACAGAAAAATAGATAAGATATCTTAAGAATATTTGTATAGCAGTAAGGTACTACTAAGGGAAGTTCTTTAAGTCCACTAAAAATACATAGCTTACTGTGTTTTAATATACTTTTGTCTAGAAAGAAACATGCTGTATATATATTATCTCATGTACATAACTACCACTGGAGAAGTGTTAAAAATATGGATCATCATGACACTTAGTTTTTACTATTTCTTTTGTTTCAAACGTAGGCAATGTTTAAATAACACAGAAGGTGATGCTTTTAAAAAAACATCACCTGTTCAAAACAAAAAAAAAGTTCATCACAGGCCTCCTAAGTGGCTCAACTTGTAAGGGTGCTTGCCAGAGTGGAGGCTGAGCTCTGAACCTGGGTCGTATCACTAATCATCTGTGACTGACTTTACCCAGGCAGTGGTGCTCGACTAGCGTCTGAGTGCTGCAGACGGTAACATGGGATTAGCAAGCAAAGACCCTCTCAGGTCTGAGCAACACAGCAAGCCCTGCTGAAATTCTGATATCAGTTCTGACCCAGGGTGATGTCCTGTTCAAATACAGATGGCTTCAAAGTGGATGAGTTGGAGGGGTTAACCCACACTTCCTCATTCTCCCCTGTGCATGATCACAGGGTTCATAGTTGCATAAATATGTGCTGTGATTTTTGTTCTGTAGAATGTGTGAAAAACCAAACTCATTGTCCATTGAGAATTATTGACTGAAATTACAGATCCTTCACACAGAATAACAATTGTTGCTTATTCTGTATGAACCTTTCAGCTTGTTTATCTCACTCAGGATTATTACTTTTCTTTTCATGTATGGTTTGGAGTAAAGCTCTTCAAAAGTAGAAGACTGGGCTAAATGATTTGCATTTCACTTTTTGTCTGTAGATTTAATCTTTCTCAGGCTTCATACACCTGTTGACATTATCTTAAAACTGAATTACAGTTTAAGGTTATTGAGAAATAGTGTTTTGTGTATCTTGCATTACCTAATGTGTTTCTAGTGATATCCAGTCCCCAAAAGGCGCTTGTCTCTGTTCATCTAAGTTTTGGGCTGTTTATAAGCTTTATGCATCACCTCACACCATGTTTATTCCTCTTGCCATTTTGACAGACAACAAAATCTGGTTTCTTACTGGATGCCTGCAAGTGTTGATATTTATTAGCACTGAGATTTAGTGTGCAGCTTTACAATGGGAGGTACGAGCCAATAACTATATTTTAATAGATTATTTTATATATTCATATATTTTAATATCCATATTTTATAAGGGTGTACTGTACATATCTACACATGATAAAATCTCATGTATACCATATACAGTACATGCAAAGAAAAATAGTGATAATATACTACAGCCCATCTTTCCTGGGGCTCATGTGTGTGAGGACACTGCTGAATAGAAAATTATGTGGAACAGATCTACCTTAAAAGTGTTCATTGTGTATATCTCTCCCTATTTAAATGATGACATTTCTGATGAGAGGAAGTATTTGTACTTTCAGTCCCGTGATATTAGCAGTGGTACTGTATATTAGTACAAAGAAAGTGGGAGGGCATCTCCGAGAGTTCAAAGCCTCCTTTGTATGAGATCGCAGTGCTTTCTTTTTAATCAGCAACTCTTAATGCCAGGTCTGTGCATCTGCCTAGCTATAAACTTATGATTGATATTCTAGTAAATACCCCTCAGTGCAGGGGTCAGTACCTTTCAAGATCAGGTTATAAGGTTTTGGTGAGTCACATAAAGTGGTGCCTCTACTCTGTTACTTTTGTCAGGACTGAGTTCAGAGTGGCAACATACAGTATGTACATGGTGAAGAACTCTTGACATAGTGACCAAAATGTGCACAATGGTCTCAATGAATTCTTGCTAGTAAATTATGCACCTGTGTCTTAATTCTGGGTGCTCCCTCCATTTTATATTTATAGCATATGTTTTTGCTACTTGCATGTAATACTCTGTCCTTCTCATCTGTCATTTATCTAAATGTTACTGAAATGTAATTGCGTTTTCTACGGAGTTTGATCATTTTTCTATTATGGTCTCATATGTATTATTTAAAAATTAATTTAATAAACAGTATTAATTTAATAAACGAGCCATTATCTTTTAATCATTTTAGTGATTGATGTTTCCCCTTTTCATTACATTTTTATTGTTGTTTCATTCTACTGTTATGTGGGGGCAGAAAAGCTTTGTTCATAAGCCTTTAGAGTCATGGCTGACAGGTTGTGGGTTCAAGTCCCCACTACAGACACTGTGCTTGTGTGAGGGACTTGACGCTAGTTGTCCCAGTCCACCCAGCTGTATAAGGGGGGACCGGCATTGCTGGGCAGTGATCCCTATGATGGACCAGTGTACCATTCAGGGGTGGAATCATGTGCCCTCTAGCCTGCTTAACGCTACAGAAAACAGGATCAGCTCTGGTCTAATAAGCCTCTGTGGCTTGGAATGGAAAGATACCTTTTTTCTTTCATAATACTCAAAAGACTGATATAAGTTGTAATAACCTTCGCTGTCCACTTCATTGGCCTTTTTAATACCCTTTTTAAACCTTGTACATATACTGTATACAGTAGCCTCCTTTGTGACGCATCTGATGTAGACTAGATTTCATAACAATGTTTTATACTGCACTTGTTTAGGACAAGTTCTGTTACAGAATGTGTGGGAGCTGACCTGGGCTGAATGACTGTTAACCATTCCAGAATGTTCTTATTGGATTAAAATATTACATAGAAACCAAAGGGGCAAATGAAATTGTATTGTTTTTATTGTTTATAAAGAGAAAAACATTTGTTGTTTTCTTTTCTCTCCTCACAGCTCAATGTATACACCCAACTACCATGTTGTGAGAAAAGACAGTGAGCTGGCAGCTAGTGAGTCTGGAGGCTCTGAAAGTGAACGTCTCATTTACAAGAGTGTCCTGGAAGGTGGTGATATCCCATTGCAAGGTCTGAGTGGTCTAAGCAAGCGTCCTTCCAGCTCCTCTTCCACAAAAGGTAGGCAATGACTGACAGGGACATACATCTTTGAAATCGTTGGCCATAAGTGAACCACTATCAGAAACTACTATACAATATTGTGAAACTTTCAAAATCTCAAGATTCAAAACATAAACCCCTGCATTCTGGTATTTTTCTTTTTTCCTTAGTCATTCATATGTGTTTTTTTTGTTGTATCTTCTTCAGTTATGACAGCTATAATAAATTATCTGTTTTTGTTCTTCAGTGATTAACTACTACATTCATTAACATGGATCCTTACTTTAAAACCACAGTGTGTGAAGGAGTTGTAAAGGTACTGAATAGTACCAAAAACACTGCTGTTTAGTTTGTTCAGAAATATTGTCTTACAAAACTGAAATATTAAGGCTTGACCACATGTTGGTGGTTTTTCATTGAAGTGTATCAATGGCCTTCTGACGAAGTAAACCTTCGCACCAGGTTTTAGGTTTGTACATTACAATAAGCAGTTGTGTAGTTGTGTCAAGGCTTGGATTTATTCTGTGGCTTGATTGAAATTATTGGCCAGTAAGTTTTTTTTTTCCACACAACAATAGACCTAAATAATAAAATGCTTAATAATTCTCAGTGTCTTCTTAAAAACATGTTAATTATTAACATTTGTCCATAATTATAAGTTATTAGAGAAATAATTAATAAGATAATTGAATGTGATTTAAAAATCTGGTTTTCATTTTGCAGCATTTCAGATTTGGAATTTTGTTATAAATTGCCTAAAGCTGCAATAGCAAGCCACTTTTTGTACTTGCTGTTATATTAAAGGGTTAAAATTAAAATACCATTTGAATTAGGCTGGTGTGCGAAGACAATGAGATAATGTTATTATATAATCTCATGTGGTAGCTCTAAAGTCTTGCAAATATGTTTTGAATCTTTGTTTCTGGACTTTAAGTCTGTAGGGCATATCTAAATAATAAAAAAACATGCAACAGACTGTTGTGCAAAAGACAGCATCGTGTATTGAGATCATACCAACTGCTTTATAGAAGGGATGTCCAGTCCTGGTCCTGAGGAGCTGTTTTCTGCAGGTTTCTAGGTGTATGTAAATCAGATTGCAGCTGAAGAGCTAAGGGATATTGATTAATTTGTCCATTTAAGCTAACAATGAAGTGTGTTCGGATTTAAGAATAGAGTTGGAATGAAAACCCGCAGACCCTAGACAGGACTGGACACCCTTAATTTATGGAAAAATTTCAAATCCAAAGTACTACAGTTGTTTCTCATTGTTAGTGCTTATTTTAACATGGTGAAACATACAACCAGTGTCCAGTTTTCCTGTTTTTCATATGTTTTTCATAGCACATCACCATCTGTCAAGTGTGGGGAACATTTTCATTTCTTGTCCTTTGAGGTTACCTAAAAGCTGCCAGGCATAAATTAATATACCTGCATTTCTTCTTGCTCTTAAGGAGGAGGCTATTCCTACTGTTTGACAGAGGTTAATTGGTACCAAGTTAATAATTGATCCAGCTATGGAACAAGAAAAAAATGCTTTAACAATTCACTTTGATATGTTTTTTTTTTTCATTTTGTATGTGTTTCTGTCTCGCCTGTAGATAATTAAATGTAAAAACTTTGTTTTTTTCTTGTTTTTCTGTGAAACTCTGAAAATTGATCTCTGCAATCGCTGCATGTGTTTGGTTGGCCCCACTATCAGCCTCTCTTGAGTTTTCAAAGTCAATCACACATTCAAGAATGTGGTCAGTCAGCATACATCAAACTGTGATCAATGCTGAATTATATTTCACCTAATAGACTGTATTTATTCTATTGTTCTGCATGCTTACCAGTGGATCATAAAGGTGGGAATGCTTACATCATTTCACCTTCTTCTTCTGTAAATAGCAGATCAGTTATTGCTAGTAATGCGCTAGTTTATAAATGTAAGCATAAGAAGCCATTGTCAGCCGCCAAAGCCTGCATTTCTGAAATCCTCCCCTCCAAATTCAAGCCGAAACTGGTGCCTTCTGGCAGTGGGTATCAAGAGAGGGAAGTACCTGCTGTGACACACCCCAAAGCTCACAGCTGCGAAGACCTTCATGATGGCAGCTCCTTCTTTGACAGCAAGAGGGCAGTACCGAGAGAGGTGAGGCAGAGTGCGGATTCCCTGCTGCTTCAGGAAGGAAGTACAATCGGGAGGCGGGAAGGCAGCACCACCAGCCTTCAAGAGTACAGCTGCCAGAAAAGTGCCATCCCTCCGCGGAAGAGCAGCCCTGAGTTTGCTGCCATGTACAAAAACATGCACTACGTCCACCGCCCGAGGTCGCAGGGTTCCAGTCCTGGGGGGAGCGTGCGCAGCCTGGCCTCACAGTTCGAGAGAGAACACAATGGGTATGGAGAGCCAGGAGAAGGGGAAGGCCTTGAGCGTGTCCCCCGTCACACTGTGTCCTCCAGGGTTACAGAGTTTGAGCAGATAATCCAGCGCTCATGCTCCCTGCCCACTTTAGACAGTACCTACAATGCTCAGAGCCCTGGCCAGTCCCGTATGGCTTCAGCTTTCTCAGCTGAGTCTTTGCTTACAGAGCCCCCAAAGAGGGAAAAGGAGGAGACAGAGAGGAAGGAAGAGGTAAAGATAATGGTAAAAGGAGCTTGTCTCTCAGAGAGTGAGGTAGCAGAAGAGCTAGCTTCTTCAGAGTTCAGTGACATGGTACCAGTGGACTCCCTCTCCACTGGCACTGAAACAGAGATTGACCGACTTTCTAATGCCTCTGCGGAGAGCTCTGCTAGCAGTAGCATCTTTCCTACCCACCACCACAAACCCAGCAAATGCAAAGGGGCCTGCCCTGCCTCTTACACCAGGTTTACCACCATCCGCAGGCATGAGAAGCAACAGGCCAAAGTCCAGGCTAAGCTAAGCACCCAAGAAAACAAGAATGTCTTCCCCAGAAACCTCTTTCTCATGGGCCCCATGCCCTTCCGGTTGAAGAAGCCACTGCAACAGCAGGAAGTGAAAAGAACCACGGCTGTGACTGTCACACGGAACCCACCTAACAGCCTGAAAGTAGACCAAGTGGATCACGGTACCCTGCAGGGTGTGTTGACAGAAGGCAAACCCATCATCCCACAGCGACAGTCCTCCTTGGAGGCAGTAGAGAGACTAAGTGCTGGAGACACACACCAAGAAGGCTCGCTTTCTTCCCCCAATGGGTGCTATGATGGTGTCTCTAATGGCAACAGTTGTTCGTTTGCTCTGGATGGCTTGGATCCCAACAACAATCCGCAACAGCTGGTGATGGGAGCATACCTCAGAGGTGGCTATTCCCGTACTTTGCAAGTGTCACTCCCATCTGTGTGGCCACTCATTTTGTTTGACCTATTTGTCCTTCCACCTGTGCTTTCTCTCTGTCTTCACACAGTGGTATTGCAATCTTCATTCCAGTCTGTCTGTCGTTTTGCTACCCGTTTTGATTGGCATCTTACCAGTGAATCCGTTTTTTCCTGTGTCATTTTTTGGATTTATAGGCAATGTCTAAATTAAACGTATTCAAATACATGGCAAAAAAATTGTAGTGGGTGATGGTTGTTGTGTGGAGAGATTACTGCAAACTTTGGTCATGTATAAGTGTCTATACATACTGTGTATATGTATGAATACATATATGTATATACACAAAGTTGTGTGCCATTGAAAACCTTTTCTTTATTTATTTCCTGTGGTATGCAACCTACAGTCTCCTCTCGCCTTACTGTATATGTAGGCTAAAATAAATAAAGCACCAGGGGTTATCTGCCTTTTGCCTGGTCATAGACTTGTTTTCTTTTACATTTTTGTTACACATTGAGGTTTACATTTAGTACTCTTGACATTCATCTCAGTGCTCATTACCATTTTTTGTTAAAACTGCCAAATTGCATTATTCTTATGCTTATTACATATCAGCTGGGCTGTTTTCTTTGAGGACTATCACTTGCAAAATGATTGTTAACAACACTAAATGTAATGCCTGCTCTTAGTGTCGCACTGTATATTTATATAGGAGAATGCCGAAGCCGACTTTAAAAGAAAGTCAGTGATTGAGAAAGGGTGAATGTCTTTTAACTGTGAAAAGTACCAATTCTTCTCATCTTTTAAGTAGACTCTGATTCTCCGCGCCATTTTGCTCCTATGGAGCATTCAGAATATCCAGAAGACCTTGTCCGCAGACGCTATGATGACAAAGAGGTAATCTTTAATATAAACTTTTTTAGATAAAGGTTCAAGTTGCACCTTATTGAGTGTTCATGCCATTGCAATCCAGTGAACTAAAGTTACTTGTAACTAGATTAAAGTGTTTTAGTTGTCTATGTATTTCAGAGGTTTATGCTGATAGACTTTAAGATTAATAATTTGATTAGAATTTCTGCTTTTCTGTTTCTTCAATATTTATTATAGTTCAAATTCTGGCACTTAAGAGCAAACAATAACAATTACAGTATAATCCTAAGATTATTACAATATTTAAGTTATTAGATAATATTTTTAGATAATGTGATAATTAGAAAATGCTTTGAGTTGAGAAAACTGTTGCTTCAGATACAGATTCTAAGATATTTGTACGTTTTTAAAAATTGAGTTCCTGAATGTAAGAACTTTAAAGGCAGCACAGTATCTAGAAATAAGGATAATAAGTGTGTTCGCTCTCTACTCCACTCTAAATTACCCTCCTTTAGTCAGAAAGCAGGAGCATGGAATGGAAGGTGCTTGTGATTCAGAATTGTCTGGGCCTGCTCTTTTAATCAGAGTAGTCTGGAGTTGTTTTCCTGCTTCTTTTCCACTGTGACTGTGCTGTCTTGAGTGGGTTGGCTTTTTTGCTAAAGTTGAGAGAGGAATGCCTCAGAACAGTCTTTGTTTCTGTTCAGTGGCCATGTGTCTGTCCTTTCCAACTTTCTGTTCCAAATAGCAAAGTATGGAATTTCCAGCGGTCAGAATGCAGCAGTTGATAAAAGGGGTTCAATTTAAAATGACAAGTACAGCCTAAATACTGTAGTGGCTTTCTTGGATTAATGAGACTAACAGTAATGTATTAAGTCTAAATGTGCAATACAAACAGTTAAGAAGCAGTGACAAATTTTACAGAACTGCTAAGGTGTTTTCATTGTGACTGAATGTTTTGTTCAAAACTAATAAACTGATTGACATTATTATAAGACATTTAATATAAATGTTTATTTATTCCACCCAATCACTCTTTATGCTCATTACTATAGTTTAACCTTTTTATATTAGTATCATTTTACACACACAAAAACACACACATATATGCATTCTACATATGTGTTTGTCACTGTAATCCCAGGACATTTAAAAAATAATAAAATCATTAACTTTATGCAATTTCCACGGCAGAAACTGTTAGAGGAGCAAAGAAGACTTAAGCGCGAACAAGAGGAGGCTGATATTGCATCTAGACGACACACTGGACTCTTTCTAACTCACCATCAGTTTATCACTAATGACCGATTTGGAGACCTCCTTAACGTTGATGATGCAGATAAGAGGAAATCTGGGTCCGAGGTCTGTTCCACTCACCTCAATCCGCTGCTTGACCCAAAGCAAGATTTGCCTCCCACATTATGTAATGCTGTAGGTCAACATCCGCTTCCAAGACTCGGAGCTCCCTGTGTAGAATTCTGCTTCCAAAATTAACCTGGCTGCTGCTTCTGGTACATGATGGTTCACACTGCCTGCTGTCATGGCATGTCTGCATCCCAGATGGCCAGAACTCCATGCTGATGCATGCGCCCAGGCATAACCCACATTCCATTCACCGCTAAAAAAAGACAAGTCGGGAACATCAGTTTTGTTTTTGGGGGCCATTCAAGATTAAATATACAGTATAGATATTAATGTGTGAAATGAATCTTGCTTGGCTCCCATAAAGCATTATTTTTCATTAAAGTGTTTTTGGCAGGCATAGCTAGGAAGTCGCTTGCTGATGTACTGTTTCCGTGTACTGTGCAGTCCTTCGAGCCTTCCACTTTTTTATCCATTCTCTTTTCTTAGTTTTCAGCCATCTTTTCAAAAGGTACCATTCAAATTCTCAGTAGCTGTTTTGAATGATGAGTGCTGTAAGTGGTAGCTAGAAGAAGGACAAAGCTGTTCACTTTCTGATGGTTGGGTTGTAGTCTATTCTATGAGATAGTGTAGTTAAGCTTTAAGCTTGGCCCACTGTTGGTGTCATTAAATATGATTAAGGCTGACAATCTGTTTGGGATAAAAAGAGTTTAATCCTGAGCAGAGTAGAGGCATTCCTGGGACTTCCACAATTCTTATTAATTTATCTTTTATAAAAGAATAAATATACTTTGGATCACCAAAGCAACTTATCTGGATTCCTTCATGGGCACAGAAAACCTAAAAAAGTATGTTATTGATCTTGTCAGTTGCCACAACAGCTGGCAATTAAAAAATATTTTTTGTCAACTGTGTGACAAAGATCAGCATTTCCAGTATTACATGATTTGCATGATATAGCTAAGTAACTGTAACTCGGGGGTAGTTTTCTGAAGAGACATGCTACTATGCAATTTCAATTAAGGAATAGGGAGGGAACCCTCTAAAGTTAGACCTTTTTAAATCCAGTATTTATATCCCATTGTATAGGAAAGTAACTAAAGGAAAAAATGAACAAATTTAAAATGACAAGAGAAGAGATTAATGTATTTTGGCATATATGCACTGGAGCTGTACTGTGAAGGTCCAAAACTACAGTATGTTAATAGGGCTTTTTTTGTGCAGCTCACTGTTATAAAAGGACTTGTGGTTTTTTTTCCTTGATATATGGCAATGTTAACTTCACAGGCATCTTTAAAAGGAAAATTATCAATGGTCTTACACAGTCAACAGAACTCAAGATGGGCCAGGACTTCTGTGCAGAAGTTGACTCTTAGCTTGTACTTGCTTTCATCTACACCCATGCAGAGCATTTTACATTATTTTCAGTATACTGTATAAAAAAATAAGCATGTTATGCTATGTTGGATAAATTCACAGTCCAGTAAGTCAAATTGAAATTGACCATAATCTCTTTGAACAACATCAAAGACATTTTCAGTCTCTTCACTGTATTTTGAATTTGGAAAATCAAAGTTGACACAGCCTCTGCAGTGCCAAGGTTAATGAAGAAATAGCATGAGATTTTAGGAAGCTACCACTAGATGTCATTAACCATCCACAGTCATCACTTCCTGATACTAATGCTTTATGTTTAGTTTTATATTTCATCTGCTGTACTGTTCTCTCTGTGTAGATCAGATTTCGCTTTTCAATACTCACTTCAACACCTAATTATTTTTCTTGTAACATGTCTCATTATTGTTTTTGTCTCTACAACCTACAGATGTCACCAGCTCGTGCCAGATTTGACTTTAAAGCTCAGACACTGAAGTGAGTACAGTTAAACAGAATCACTTATGACTGTGCGCACAAACCACTGTATGTTTGCACTAGTATTTTGTATATAAAAAGGAAAACATATTTGTTATTGTTTTTCTTTAGGTTCTAATAGAGATATTCTGTTCTACACTAATTTAAGTACCTCCTTGTTTTATTATTAACGTGGAATTGAGTATTTCAGTTTAAAAATGATAATGTAGATATAAGATTTCTACATTCAAATAATGTGATATAATTTAATATAAGTGGAGTCTCTTTGCATGTACACTGCATTGGAAGTCATATTTTACTGTAGTTCCTGAAGAAGTCAATGCAAAGAAGAATTTATTACCAGGAGGATTTAATTGTACTCTTGTTCTAAGACATTGTAATATAGTAGCTAAATGGGAAATAATTGCTTTCAATTCTCTGTTTACACAATCTGGAGAAAATAGTAAAAATATTTTAACCTGGTTGTCTTGACTCCTCCTGTTTCATACTTTAAAATCTTTCTACACATCCATCACAACTGGATTTTATGGTCATTTGTATAGAAAAGGGGAATTGTCAAAACAGGACTGCTTCTCTAAGGTGAGAATGGGCACTATTTGTGAAAACAAACCAACTGCTTAGTAGTTTTGTGTATATTTTGTGACCATCACCTATTTTTAGGTGCATTTTATGTACTGTAACAGCAATATCAGTGATCTAGTAGGTTTCTAATTCCCTTTGTATTGGGCTGATGTTCTGCTAGGGAACTGCCTTTCCAAAAAGGAGACATTGTCTACATCTATCGTCAGATTGATCAGAACTGGTATGAAGGAGAGCATCATGGAAGAGTGGGGATCTTTCCCCGCACTTATGTGGAGGTAACTGGACATCTATTATAGTATATAAATTGACTTAACATGACAAAATATTTAAAAGTCTATTAAATCCATTTATAACTGTTAAGATACTGTAAAGGTTTGTATTATTTACTAAAGATTGAGTTTTAATGTGAAGCTTAATGCAACTTTAAATAAAGAATACATTTTAAAAAGTGTTTTAGGTGAAACTTATGCAAAGTCTCATCTTACTGTGTAATCAAATCACTGCTATTTCTAATTAGTGGGAATATATTAAGGACACAGTATTTTATTCATAACTGCATAATTGTGGTATACAAAGTTTCTGTTCCACCCAGATTGCACAAAGTGTACTATTGTCAGTTTTTTACCCCTCACTGAGAAAGAATGTAATTAGCATCCCTACAGGTTAAATTAATATCTTTGTAGGGCTTAAAACTTCAATTTGTGGCCAGTCTCACAGAATATAGAGCACATACTGTAACTCTAATGTAGTGAGATGCAAACTGACCAAAAATTAATTAGTTCAGGTGGGTAGCTGTGTCAACATGTGTAGGCTGCATAAAAACAAGTAATAGGTTTATTCCATGCTGAAAAGAGAACAAAGAAAACACAATGTTTCGTCCGTGGTGTGTCAAAACTTCATTAATTAATACAAAATGAATTAGCTGCCTTTGTTTATTGTTTTAGATCCTGCCACCAACAGAGAAGGCCCAGCCCAAAAAGTCAGCCCCAGTCCAGGTTCTGGAGTATGGAGAGGCCCTGGCTAGGTTTAACTTCACAGGGGACACAATTGTTGAAATGTCCTTCAGGAAGGTAAGTGCAGTATTCCCTGTCCTGAAACAACTGGCGCTTAAATTCCATTTGTACCCACTGGTATTAGATGAAGATACTGTTTGTTTTAGATTTGTCAGCCCCTTTCATGCTTCTAATAAAAAATAAAATACACCTGAACTTATTAACTCATTCAGAAAAACATTTGTCCAAGGTTAATTTTGGTTGATATCGTTTTGGGGGTTATTGAGAGCAGCCCTCTGCATCTTGTACTACTGCCTCTCATTTCTTGAGGATAGAAGTACAAGATCCTTCTTATAGGTTTTTTTTGCTTAGCATAAAAGGTACTTAAAACAATACTTTTCAAGTTTTGTATGTTTGATGTTTATGACATTTATAGTGTTAGCATTAAATAGTTTTAATTTTTAATTTTTAAAGAATTATAGATTCATTTGGATTTCCTCTATTGCTGTCAAAGGACTTGTTTCATCTTCCATATTACGGCATCATTTACTGATCAGTGTACATTTGCAATTTTGCCTCAGTGTGTGGTTTGCCCCAGTGACGTTTTCTGTTTATTGACCATGTCAATAAATCTAATACCTTTTATTCCAAATTATTTTTGAAATTGTAAATTAAATAAAACCAGATTACCTGATGAGTCTTTCACTCTCCTTGATGGAAGGGTTTTAAATCCCAGCTGCTTCCCATTCTGTTGCAGGGAGAGAGAATCACACTGATCCGCAGGGTGGATGAGAACTGGTATGAGGGCAAAGTCTCAGGCACCAGTCGGCAGGGAATCTTCCCAGTCACCTATGTGGAGGTTCTCAAACGGCCTCGTGTTAAGAACGGAGTGGATTACCCAGACCCCCCAGTGAGCCAGTCTCCCAATCGCAGCCACACTGCATCACCGCAGGTACAGTACACCTCTAACCTCAGGCCTGAGAGAGAGGGTTCACAGCTGTTGTGTTAAGGCTTAATGACTAACAAATGCAGCACAAAGTCTGTTCATTATTTAAACACCTATTTCTTGGGATATTTCTTAAATTAATTTAACTTTAGTTACAATAAATAATGTGCTGAAGGTTGTCAATAGGGCTTTATTGCCATTTGCACACAATAAATTAATATAATAGCAAAACTGAAGAGAGAATGAAGTACAATATACAGTTGCAAGAAAACATTTGTGTTTTTACATTACTCATAATTACTCATAAAATTGTGGTGTGATCTTCAGCTAAGTCACAAGAGACAAGGAGACAAGCAGATTGTGTTTGTCTATTATTGTGATTTAGTTGAAGATCAGACCACATTTTTATGAGTAATTAATGCAGAAATCCTGGTAATTCCAAAGGGTTCACAAACGTTGTCTTGCAACTGTACGTACAAGGATATACAGTAGTTTGTGACTGATGAAATTGGTCAGTTTGAATTACTAGTATATGTGTAGTGTACTGTACAGTATGTGTTTAGATTCTAGATCTGCACAGCCATATCTGGCAACTTGGTATACCTAAAGACTGGTTCTTAGCTATAGATGATCATTGAATTAACTATGAGAATCACGTAACTCCGATTAATTCAGTTACATTAGTTTTAATGTGTTCTGTAAATATGACTGGGTTAACTTCCTTGTCTCTGTAACTACACGTGATACTGTATATGTGGTAAAGAATTTTCTTTGGAAAAATGAGCTAGATAAAGGGAAAAGTATTTTAAAAAAGACTCCTAAAAAAGAGAGCCAACATGTTTCCAACTAATAAAGGTCCATCAAGTACTGTAGGTTTTAAAGGCCCATATTAACCTTAATATAAAATTAGTATTATACTATATCTAAGGACATTGAGGATGAATTCATCATTAGCAGATTCCAGATTCCATATACTGTAGGTTTATAATATAGCTTAATATAGACTTTGATTTTTAATTTATTTAAATTGTAATGCCTTTAAATTAAAGATTTCTCGAAAAGTACATTCTAAATCAAATATCATGTTTGTGACTTTACCAACGGAGTATATATACAAGATCAAGTTACACTCATTAGACATTTTTTTAACATTGTTGCAGGTGCTTGTCTTCCTGCGGTGTGGCTTTACATTCTTCCCCTCTGCATTATTCATCTTTTTTCTTTTTTTTTCTCCTTCTTTCGTAAAGTGTGGCCACAACCGGCTGCTCTCTCCCACCCCTCCCCTGCGACGCGCCATCTCCCCTGAGGTGCAGGCCATCACCTCTGAGTGGATCTCCCTCACAGTGGGCCTGCCCCGCAGTGGCACCCCTGCTGCCACTCCCCCTCTCCCACCCCTGCCTGAGGGCTTCTACTCCTGTGGGGACTATATCTCTCCCTCCGCGGCCACCAGCCCAGTCCCTCCAGTCAGCAGCCCTCTGCGCAGCCCCTTGGGCCCCTCCCCTGCCAGCTCCCCGCTGCCCCCACCCTACCCCCCTCGCCCCCACTCCTCTTGCTTGGGCCCTGCTCCGTCTGTCACCTTCACGCCCCCCCAGGGAGAGGAGCTCCTCCGGCGCTCCGCGTCCCCCACGTGCTCCCCCAGCCTCGGCACCCCAAGAGGCTGGAGCCCCGAGGCGGGCTTTGTGGGAGGGAGCCCCCAGCAGAGGGGTCTGGCCATAGAGCTGGAGGAGAACCAGCTGTGCCAGGAGCTGCTCAATATTGTGCAGGGAGGAGAAGGCGCACAGGGAGGCAGGGAGAGCAGGCAGGAGGCCGTCAAAGAATGGCAGAGTAGCCCAGGAAAGGTATCCCCTGCATGGAGTGCAGTGTTGCAGTACTTAGATTCTTCTTTGTGTATTTGTACCTCAAAGGTCTCCTTTGAACTGGTTTTTGTAGCATGGTTGTTTTTGTACACACAGACTAGGATTATCGTTCTGGGTGATGAAGTAATATCAAAACAAATCTCTTGGCATAGCAATACAAAAGACATACTGTATGCATCAGAGTATTCCGTGTGCTTGGAAAAAAATTATCTAGCTGAATCTTTGTGAATATGCCAGAGAGATATTGTATGCATGGTTTGGAGAATCTTTTGTGTATTGCATGAAATTAAAGTCATTAAAGTCATTAGCTGCTGTCATATTTGAAATTATCTGCTCAAATCACTAAGCCTTCCTAAAAGAAGGTTCTGTTTTCCGATAAACATTTGCACGTGGATACTGTATATGTTCATAACTTAAAAAATGATCCCAATGTCTCCTCATCAACTAAATCATAGGGTGCCTTTAGTAGTGGAGGAAACTAAAAGAAGTAATCAGGTGTTGCATTGTTTAATCTGTTAACACCTAGCTTTGTAAAACTGAAGCTTAAGAGTGGTATCACACCTGTACCTATCTGTCAAGTGTAGTCGTGTCAGTTCGTTTTATGTATGTGACTAATATTATTTTTTATTCAGCGCATTCTGACTTAAGCAAACACAAACGAGAAGTAATAAAGCTTAAGATTCGACTTTCAAAATTAATAAATCCTTCTTTTCCTTAAGAGAGGAGACCTGAACAGGTCTATTCATAGCCCCCCTCCCCCAGCCTCCATCTGCACTGCCCTTCTCTCTCATCCTTCAGCCACACCTGTCAGAACCCCAGCTAGGCTCAGGCCTCCAGGGCCACAGGTAATACCATCAGTGACAGTCTCCTTCCCTTCCAACAGCATGGCAGTGCCAAGTGTCCCTCAGTATACAGTTGTAATAACCTCCAGACTAACAAACATTCCTTTAACTCATTGGCTTAAATGGCTACTGTTGTACTGTTTGCAAAGTTAACAAGACTGAGAACCGATTCAGTCTTTGCTGTTCCATTTTCCTTTCATTCACATCGGTAAAATAACAGTTTTTATAACATTTTTATCTGTTAGATGGAATTGGACAGATGTTTTATTTCATGACTAGTGATATTAGACAGCAGCCTTACCACTTTCTACCCTGATCTCATCAGATTTCAGTAGAGTCTGTGTAAGCTGAACAAGACTGGGCCTGTTCATTACTGAGATGGGAGACTTTTCCTATTAGGAAAACAAGTTTGCTGCTGTAAAAGTTGAAGGTAGAACAGATTTTGATAGTTTTTCCCCTGGACGAGTACTCCAGTATGGTGCCTGTGTATGAAGTACAGTAATGTCTCTCCGACATTAAACTGGGTCCTGATAAATTGGTCAATTGAGATTCCATGGTACCATTTAAAAGAGTAGGGGTGTTAACCTTTATCTTGGCTAAATTCTACTCTGGACTTATGCAAGCTGTGCTTCCTAAATGTTCTCATTAATTCAATTGGTAGAGTTTTTTTACATTTCCTCTCCTGATCTATTGTCTAGTTATTGCTGATTTGCTTTGTAATTGTGTGTTGTGTAGTTACGGGTGTTCAAATGGCTGCCACATGTCACTCAGGAGTTAGTGCACTTTAGTGATGGATGATTTAGTGAGTCCCTTTAAAAAAAACATTTTGAGATTTTTTGGGCAAAAAAATCAAAGTGAAATCATTATTATTGTGTTATACTGAGAATCAAAACGAACACTATGCATATATGCTGGAAAGAGAAGAAAAGAAATCTTGTGTTTCTGTCACTATGGAATAAACCTGTACTTGTTGCTTTGGAGCCTACACATGCTGACACAGCTACCTACGTGAACTATCACATATGTTTTTAGAAAATTTACGTAATTTTGGTTCTTTTTCCAATTGTTCTGCATCATTGAGATTCAGTTAACTGGGGGCAAGCGATGAAGTGATTAAATTAGTTGAAGCTTGTTGAAAATCAGGAAGAAAAACACTGAAAGTATGTAAAATGCCCTGTTTATTACATAAACAATGCCTTCATGCCACTGGTTGGAGCATTACCTGATCTGGATTTACCAGTAATGGCACTGAGTCCTCTGAGTTTAATCTAATTTTTGTGTAGCCCACCCTGTACATCAGTGATTGTGCCACAAAAGTGGAGAACGATCTACAAATTGTTGTGTACAAAAGATAAATCCATTGGGAGGTCCAAGTGTGATGATCTGGACCACTTGTGATTTATGGCACCCTGACTGCCGGGCACTAAATTGTCCAAGTCATGGGACATCAATTACTATCTTTTGTAGTTCATTCTGTGTGAGAAAAGTCTAGGAGGACAGTCTGTAGATGACTTACTCACCAGACTTAAGCCCTATTAAACAATTGCTTAGAGACCAGTGGACAGGCACATGCTTGTCCAGGCTCTGTGAACGGAATGGAACAGCATCATCTTTGCTGCGGTGAAAAGTGTGTGCCATAGATGCATTGCTTTCCTCGAGCCTGTGACTTTCAAAGCAGCCTTCCCTGTTCATTATCATTTTGATGACACATGCTTATCAGCATAGTGTTTTTCCAAATGCCATGGTTATTCATTAAAGTGTTAGTGTACCTAGAGTACTATAAAAATGTTTTGTCATTATCCTGATAAATGCTCTAAAAAAGGTCAATTGAAGGATCAGTTTAATTTACATACTGTATAACACTAATATAATCATTACTTACTGGCAGACATTGTTTTTAATGAAAGTAAAAACATTCAACTTCATCCATAGCAGGCAAGTACATACTGTAGGTGATACTGTAAGTGCCACAGGAAAGCAATGCTTTGTCGAAACATTAGTTAACACTTTGATCAGTGTAGTTTTCACTGAAATCTAGTTTATCAATAAACTTATCAATAAAGATAAATGGCATTTGTATAGCAAGTGATATTTCTAAAATTTCAGTAAAATTGGAAGTGTGTTTTTAAAATCTGTTCTTAAAAACGGGTGTGAGACAGAATTTATGGCAGACTTCTGTGATTGAGTTCTTGCAGTTGATACAGGGTGTGTGCCTGTTACTTTCATGTTGTAATTATACTGTACCTCTGTTGCAGTTGTTAAAATTAATTATACAGGATTATGGATAAGAAGGTATTTTGTTCAGATATTATCTTACACAACTACAGTAGGTGCACCTTTGTGTTGTCTGTTTTATTTGTTTTTCTGTTGTTGATTTCAACTGTTAAGAAAACCTCATTTGGCTATTTTATGAATAAAAGCTCAGGATTTGTAGCAGCGGTGTAATGGAATTCATTTCTTATTTATTTTACAAGAACTTATTTAAAGGTTTGAATCTTTTCTATACATTATGGCTATTCAATATTTGTGATCCTACAACAAAATCATGGCCTGAACAATTTTTGTATCATGAACCTTTATCAAGCTTTATTGTGGTTTTTTTTTTCTTCTGTGGCGGTTTCTTTATGGGCCATTTCCAATAGTGACTGCATAATGAAGCTTGCAGTACAGTGGTGCGATTTTTGCTTGTTGAGTTATTAACTCCCTTTATCATCTCTGTGAACCACACAGAACATCTACGTAAATGTTTGATTCTTTACTAACTAAGCTTGTCTTCTGAACATTCATGTCAGGAGAAACAAGGTCTTGGTATGTGCTTGGTAATTCAGCATGCAGCAATGTGAAAATATATTAACTAATGTCACCTTTTTCTCCCCTGAATATTTAGCTTGTGCAGAATGAGACTGGGTACCATGGGCAGACCTCAAGAAGTCCAGTTATACTGTCTGATATTCCAGCTAATGTTATGAATGCCAACTCTTTTGCGGTAAGATGCGACTTCAGTGAACTACTGTACATTGCACAAAGCAGAATTGTGAAATAGTATGCCTACCCCAGTTTACCCTTAATTGTACATATTGTCTTTGAAATTAAACACTCTGAAAATAATTTTATGCTTCTAAAAAGCTGTGGAGTTCAACATTCACATTCAGATACAGAATACTATAAAGAGCGGAAAATAAAATATTTGGTAAAATCTCAGACACTCGGCAATAAACAAACAACAGCTATGCTGTATTGATGTAATAATGTATTAAAATACATTATAATTCCTTGTTTTAAATTGTTTAGATATAGGAATTTCGAATCTATAATATTTTATTGTGCCTTTCGTGTGCAGAAATACCTATTTATATTAAGATAAAGTATGTAAAGGATTCATTTTTTTTATTTTTGAACTACTCAATGTATTCTTTGTCTTTGAATCTGTTATTATTGTTACTATATGTAATATGTCTTGTTAATCACAGTCTCTGCCTGTGATGCACCTTTCTGTTTTTCAGCACCCCAGTTCTTTTACGTGCTCTGTCCCTTGGCATGTGTTCAGATGCTGTGTTGGACATAACCACTAGTTTGCTGCTTATCCTTCTTTCTTTGCAAGCACAGAGACATTGCTAGGTCATGAGGTGTGTTGTACAGTTCAATGACTGAAATATTTAGACCCAGCGCCTTTTCATCAAAGACCATTCTGAAATTTTTGAAACCCCAAAAGCTATTGCAGACACTGAAACTTGCTTTCAGAGTGCATTACTAAGGCAGCACTTCTCAAAAGAAGCAAGGGAAGTAAGAGAAACACATTGCATCACACAATATATAGTATGTAGTAAAATATTAATTAGAGAGACTGAATTAAGCTAGAAGTATTTAAGATGTACACAATTATGTGAAATTAATGACATTTACAGAAACAAAAGTTAGTAAATATTACTGTTGTCCAACATTGGCATTCCATTTACTACTGTATATATTAGCATTTAGAACCTTTTTTCTAGCAACGTCTCTGCTCTTTTCATTAAGTCAAACTGATTGAAATATCCTTTTTGCTTCCTTGCGACCAATAACATTTGCCAAACTTTCTCCTTTCTAATTTGCCTCGTGATCACAGCCCTCCCACCATTCATTGAGATCAGGACCAGAGCTCACAGACTCTGAAAAGAGTTATGTGGTAAGAAATGGGTAATACAGTGGCCTTTAATCGTACCCTCAAAGAAACTAATTCCCTAAGCAGAGAAGTGATATACTTAATTGAATGATTTGAAAAATATAAAAAAGAATTTTCAAAAATGTTGTTTTGCTGTTCGAGGGTTTATTTAAGTTAAAGTTCTGCTTTGCCCAGTTTTTGGTGATGTGCAGGTCTGAAAATGAAATTGTGGCAAAGAATCTTGAAATGTCCTCATTCACTTATTATTTTTCTACTTTCAGAAGACACTGTGGCATTTGCTGCATAAATATTAACAAATTAACAGTTTAGTTTGAATTATAATTTTAAAAAGCTATGAATGTTCAATATTTTTTTAATAAATCTAAAAGTGAACATGCAAAAATATGACTATGCAAACATTATGTCCATATGTATTTTCATATTTTCAGTTATATTAGTGTAAAGTAATCAAAATTCTAGTTTGAACTTTTTGAGGTAGTTTGACATTACCAGAAGTCAGCTTGTACCTTAAGTTGTACATTATTAAGAAGATCCCAACTAGGTTATGCCTGTTCTTTATTGCTCTACACACTGCAGTATTCCTCTCCTGTTAACTGGCTGCAGACTGCAGTGCTTTGAAAAACGTTCTTGCGTTTTTCTTCAGTAAGAGGATGGTGTTTGGAAACTTGCTGTACTATCAGTGTTCTGTCATCTTGCTCTGTTAATAACTCACACAATTGACTGCATGTCCTTAGGCAGGACCTTAACTGCAGCTGTTAACTCACAAATTGATTAGTCTTTGCATTATTCTTTGGTATCTATGACAATTTCACATGCACTTATTCTGTATCTTGCCTGTTTTCCATGCTTACCTTTGGATTCCTCCTTCATCTGTCCTGGCTTTAACGGACCCCCTGATGTTGTTACTTACTGGACTCATTTGATGCGTCTGGAATGCTCCTCTTCTCCTCTCCTAACCTGCCCTCCCCAAACTCCATCTCTTTTCCGTGCTGACTGTCTGCGTTGATGGCTGGGGGGGGATCGGCCTGTCCTTCCTGTTTGCACTGTATCTGTGTGATGTATCTGCTTCCCAGGAAGCGGTCTGCAATGAGATCATGAATATTGCAGAAAAGTCTGTCCATTACTGCAGCACCCTCTCCCATCCCCTTGACTCTAGCCGCAGACTGTCTTCTAATCACAGTAAACAATCTTTCATAATTTCTCAGCAACCCCAGGCTCAACAGCATAGGAGCAGTCCTGATCAGAACCGGACCAGCTGTGAAGTGTAAGTTCTGCCCCCACATCTCAGCACATTGCTGAAAGACTGAAGTCTCTCAGCAGACACTTTGAGTTTTGTCTGACTCAGTGGGAAACTGTAAAGTAGATTTATTTGTGTTGTCAGCTCTGAAAGCTTTAGTCTCGTCAAATCAAATCATTTTGGTGCTTGATTTTTGTATATTTTTGGAAATTAAGAAATAAAAAGGTGTTTCACTAGAAGTAAAAAATTGGACTAAATTACAGAAATACAGTACGTACTTTTAGGCAATCACCTATTTGTCAGTAAGACAGTCAAGCAGTTGAGTAATATAAAATGCTACAAGAAAGAACATTTTTTTTCATGTTATTGCCACAAAAACCTCATTTTAAGTACATGAGTATGCTTTAGGAGAGGCCACAGAGGAACGTAAAGGTCCATTCTATACGTGGAAATGAAGTTGCTTTTTGATCTGGGTGATTGTGATTGCTCTGATCACAGACTTTGAAGTCACCAGTTTTAACCTTGTTATCTTTCAATCTTTAGCTTCCAAGCCCTGTACAGTTATGTGCCACAGAATGAAGATGAGCTGGAGCTCCGGGAAGGCGATGTTGTCAATGTCATGGAGAAGTGTGATGATGGCTGGTTTGTTGGTAAGTACTCACCAATTCTTTTTTTTTTCCTTTTGGTTCGGCATCTAGAAATGACATCTGGTCATTTCTAAACTATGCAAGGCCAGATAATAATATTTTTATAATAATAATAATAATAATAATAATAATAATAATAATAATAATTCTTCCTTTCCTGAAAAAAGTACTCTTTCAGAGTGAAACACAAAATATCAACTGCAGAGGAAAAACCTTTTTTTTCTCTGTTCTAATGAATACAGAAAGAGGGTAATTGAATAATTATGTGAAGCCTTTTTATATTGAGAAAATTCCATTTTAAATTGCTTGCACATTATATCCATCCATTTTCTAACCACGTTTCTTACCACTCTCGCTGGGACGCCAGTTCATCGCAGGGCACACAGTGACACAAACATGCACACACTTACACTAGAGCCAGTTTTCCCAGAATCCAATTAATCTGCCACTATTTCTCTGGACTGAGAGAGGAAGACAGAGCACCCGGCAAAAACATAGTCATCACGATTTAAAATCCTTAAATCAAATCCAGATTCCGATAAATTACACATTGATAAAGCCAGTTTTCTTTTTTCATGTCAACCTCTAGGTACTTCCAGAAGAACAAAACAGTTTGGCACCTTCCCTGGGAACTATGTGAAGCCTCTCCATTTGTAAACATTGCTCTTCCAAATGGACACTAACAATAACACAGCATCCCCCAGCAGCCTCTTCAGTTACCATTTGGGAAACTTTGGGACTTTTAAAAAAAATTGAACACACCTTTCTTTGCTGTTGAGCTGGAGGTTTTGGTGAGCATTTCAAGGTCAAGTAGAAGTGGATGAGGCATGTGATTATATGGTAAGAGGTTCTTCTGAGAAGCATGGCCATTGTCTCAGTTTCAGATTATGTGTAGGACTAGAACGACAGGGAGTGCTGAGGATTCACTGCCTCAACTCTTCTGCCTGGTACTCACTGTCACTTTGCTTGCTGCACCAGCCCAATTTGTGCAAACTCTTGTTATCTAAAAGCAACTGCCTGATAAACCCTCAGCAGAGAAGTTTTATAAGTCTTTGTGAAGCTGTGTGCTATCCACTGATCTGTGGCTCTAAGCAGAACAATTATTTGAATTTCAACAATATGAAGATCTCATATGTAATAATGAGCAAGATTTGGTTTAGAGGAACTTCTTAGTGAAGGACCTTAAGAGAGTACTGGAAAAAAAATCAATATATAGTGCTTCTTGTGCTTTATTTCACTTTGTTATACAGATACCTGTACACCATAAAATTTAAAGTCGCATATCAAAGTACTGAAAACTTTTCTGTTGAAATAGCTTTTTTCCAGATACACATTTCTGTACATATCATTGAAAGCTGTAATTCAGAGTGTAGGATAACTTTCCAAGGGCTTGCAACCTTTTCTTGGAGACAGTGCAGGAATCAGCAGATGAGGGCATACCCACAGAATATAAGAAAGGCCATTGAAGATGGAATTTTACATGTTGCCCATTTAGGTTTAATCAGGAGGATTTATTTTTGTTTGAACAACCCATCTTCCCTGATTAAAGCTAAAGTTTAATGGTTTTATGAAAGGAAAAAGTTCAATAGGAAAGGCTATTTTCATTATACCACCACCAGCTTTTAACCAGTACTGCCAAGCAAATGCTTCTACATAACCCCGACTCTTTCTCTTACCGAAGAGAGTAATAAAGTATCTTTAAATATGAGACAACTTAATTGTATTTTTGATTGAACATGTCATTTACCAGGCAGATTTGCAGGAATAATTTAGTATGCTATCCTTTTCACAGAACATCATCTTTGCATAAAAGAGTGAAAAAAATACCTATTTTTATGCTGATAACTTTTTTAGAGAGAAATATAACAAAAGTAAATGGATTACTAACATACTAAAATGCAGAAGTTACAGCTGCCCACTTCCAAACTTAAGATGCTCAAGATGTGGAAAGCACAGTTCTCAGTGTGTGTGGAGAGGGAAAACTACATGGAGTAAGGTTTCCATCAAAATCCAAAAACTCCAAAAATGGCCATTCGAATAAAGAAATAAGTCTAAAGTCTGAGATTTGACTCCAGAGGTTCAAAGATAAAAAATATTTTTTTAAATACAATGTTTAAAGATTTTAGTTTGAAGGGTGACATTTAAATCAAACCATAATTCTTGTGTGACATGAAATATGCAAATTCTGGATTCACTCAGTTGTTCCAAACAACACGGTAACTTCCTAAAGATAATGAAGAACAATTATGATTTTTTGTCATACAGTAGGTATTCCAAAATGCCATGTATCCACTCTGCAGTCCTCAGTGAATTACTGGCAAACATGACTAAAATGGCATAAATTGAAAAACAGATCTATGCACTAAAACATCTTAGTTATACTGTACAATTTACTAGTTTTAATTTACAATCTACAGTTCAAGTATGTTACCTTGACAAATTTGAAATTTAGTTTATAGAACAGCTAAATTCAGATTGGGCACCATAAGAATGCTTGACAGCATTTTATAAAAGCTGTTTCATCAGCAGTAGCCTAATGTTAACTCATGTTAAAAATTAGAACAGGCTAGCTTTTAAATTTTGAGCGTCTACTACAGATTTCAGAGTGGAGCAGGGTAGTTTGTCTTTGTGACATTTGACTTCCAGATATTTTTCATCTTTTATGTAGTATATTGTTCTATTTCAAGGTTGTAGCCTTTGACGTTTCAGATTTTAGTTGGGTTTTTTTCAAAGCCTGATCACCATTTCTAAAGGTTTGGGAATTTGGCAAGAATGTAACTTTAAAACAGCTTGACGAAAGTACAGTATGATTGTAAATATGTATATTTGATTTTGTACAGAACGTGTACTTATCCTGTATAGAAAATAATTTAATAGAGATGGATTTAAAAGCGAGAGGAAAAAACAAGACGGCAGTTATGGAGCTCTTTGATTTTACCAGTTTATTCACCTGAAGGATTTTAGTGAAGCACACAACACAAAAAATGTCTAGCACAGAAAAACACATGCACTAAAATAGACTAAAAAAGTGTCTTGCTACCACCTTGCGGGGATCTCCTAGCCCTCATATTATGTATGATTTAGGAAATTTTGTGTTTTCTTTTTTGCCTTTGTTGTTTTTATCTAATTTAAAAATATCCCCAGAAATGTATTACTCACCTGTAGCAGTGTATTACAAGTTTAAAAATACCTAATAAAACGTTTACAGTATGCTGACTGTATATAACAAGATGCTTCTAATACATTTTATTTACCATTTTCTGTATGCTGCGGTTCATTCTAAATGCTCTTTGCAGCATTTTGTGTTTAATTTACTTCTGATAGTACTGCTTTATGATTTCACAATATGAATTACAAGAATCTATTTACAGTGTACTGCTGTGATTGCTAAATTCAGTATTATGCAATATTTAATAAACTTTATTCAAACATGTCTGGAAAATAATGTTTTTGTCAACATTATTATTGTTGTATGTATACAGGTATGCCCATTTTAGGGTTTGCATGCATTGCAAATACAACATTTAGCTAAAAGGCCTGAGCTGGAAACTTTTTGTTGCTTTATTTCAAGATTTTATCTTCAAAAAACTCTTTATTGCAACATGTAAAACCTTTGAATATTTTCCTTTACCAAATCTTTTATCTCTTTTGGAGCATCAATATCATAACTTTTTATTTGGTTATTAAGTTATACTATATTAAAAACTGACATTTTATTGAGCTCCTAGTTATTGATAGAGTTGGTACTGTAGTAGCCTTCAGTACCATAGAATCCAACATTTTTATGAAACCCCATTTATCACTGCCAAGTTGCTGTGATCAAGGAGAGTCAAAAGACCCATCATATCCCATTAGAAAAGTGCTTGTGTATGCAAGCTTCTGTTGTCTGCAGTCAAACAGAACAAAATTCAAGTACAGTATTAACTACAAGGTATACACAGCTCCAATCATGTTCATTACTCATGGTGCTCAGTAAGTGATGGATAGCTGTTTGGGATCATGTTATACATAAATGAAACTCTATTCCAGTTTTTTTGTGGCCACTGTTGTATTTCGTTAGGTAATTAAGGCTGAATTTTATACTCTGGGACCTCATCCTACCACACAAGTACTCATTAGGTTTTCTGTGATTAGTATGTATCCCTACATACATTAATTTTAATGCTCTAGTTGTAGTTTTTGAAAGCAAATTGGTAGTGTTCATGGAAATTAAAATGCCTAGAAACCTGAGATACGAATGATGAGAGACTGGTTCAAACTGAGGAGTTAGCAAAGGTAAAGCAGCAATTTCTTCTGTCTATTGGTTTCTGTTTTATAATGTATTTGCTATCTTGGCATGACTTCCTGTAAAATGTTGAGAGGATAGTGTTTATCCTGAGGTTTGTCTGTCTACAGATAGAGACATTTCCTGATATATTCATACAAACCCCATCATATTATAGACTGTATCATTGCCCTGGCTTCCTCCATGCTCTGCAATCCTCTTCTAGAGAGTTGGCATGTCAAGAGTGTCATGTTGCCTAGGGGGGTGTGCCAGTCAAATTCAGGGAACCTAGGTATAATCATTGCCTGACACTGAGGATCACAAATTTCTTACATTTTCTAAACAAAGGGGAAACACTTTATAGAGCAATCGGAGAGAAAAGGAAACTTGACAGATTCATAATTTGCTGTTGGATTACTCTATTGTGTATACTTTTGGGATGGTGCAAGCCAGCATTCAATCTGTTACATTTTTGGGCTTGTTTCTTAACTGTAATTTGTTATAATGGACAAACACAGCATGCAAAGGGATGGCCAAGCTTTGATATACAGTAGATAAGCAAATAAGAATCCTTTTGAAAATATGGTACATTAACCAAAACAATTCAATAGATTTCAAGTTTATTTGACTACCAAAACAAATGTGGCTTCTTGTGTAGTAGTCTGTGCTCATTTCCTGTGTTTTTTCAGGCATTACTGATTTCCAGAGACATCTACAGATCTGTATCTAAGTTATTGATTTGGCCATAAATTACTGTCAGTTGTCCCATACAAACTTGACTTAATGACAATGATATATGGAAGTTAAAAGAGAAAAATGTGAGTTGCATGCAACATAGTTTGCATTTTCTGTGAAATGCTAACTTAAACGTTTTTATAGGATGTTGTTCACCAAGTTAAATGTAAAATATTACAGGTGTGGTTTTATATGGCATAGTAGATTTTTACATATTTTTGTAATATTTTCTTTTAAACAATAGAAAAGGGTCATGAAAACTAAACACACTCACCTAGACACTAGAAGTATATATCAAACATATTTACCTATTTAAGACCCATTTAAGCCCAAAACACAAAAGTACTAGTAGCCCTTAACACCACCAAACACTGAAAGTTCTAGGGTTTATTCTGTCACTTTTTAAAGATTTCTCAAACTGGCAAGTATTTTCTCAACTGTAGCCCAGTTATTCCAAGATACTGTTGATCCAGCTGTTTCCCATCAAAGGAATATCTACAGCTTAAAGCAAGACCTTAGAAGATTATGTTAAAAGGGTAAAAATATGCAGTTTTTTCCCCTACAGGATTTTGAGTTTTTTACTTGTTTTTGTTATGTGTACTTTCGAATATTCCCAGAACAGAGCTTTTTAGTTTTGTATTAGATTTAGTTAATCCTTTTTGTGAATTTAATACAGTATCTGTCCATTGTTAATGTGGTGATATGAGTACTTTTACTTATTCAAAATTAGCAGGTGTCCACTGAGTTTTGGTATTAAATAGGGGAATGCATACATACAAAGCTTTGGAAAAATACTTTAAAAAAACTCATTTGTTTAAGCAATTTTGATGTTTATATATATACTGTACATGCCACCTTGTACTTTATGACTGATATGAGATATCTTGATCATGGACAGTCACATTTGAAGTGAACCAGGCCTCCATGAGTAGGCTCACAATACATGATAATGGCCAACCCTATCTGGTAAAATATTTTAATAAGTGGGAGGTTTAGATCCAGTCTATTTATATTGGCAAAAATAGGTAGTTATACTTGGACTTCAGCCTGAATTGGGAGCCTGATATAGGTCTGAAAAAAGTATGGGTGTATCTTAAATTCATGGAAATTGGTGGAGGGTTTAAAAATATGCTATGTTACAGACTGCTTTACAATGCCTCATACGGTAGTATGATTTACTCTAAGTGCATTTTTAATAGTATTACTTGAAGTTAAACATTGACATTATAATTATTTGGCTGAAAATGTAGCCAAATCAAGAGGTTCTAATTAACTTTTTCTAACATCAATATTTTGGTACCCATTTACAGTTGAGTTTGTCAGAGCAATGTTGTAAAAGGATACAGCTGCAGAGTCTTCACACAAAACTGCCAGTCTAGAGGTCAGAACCATTAGTCCACAACAGCATCCGAAGCAGTGTTCCTAGATTAGTATCACCAAGACAAAAGTATTTCCAGAAATACCAGAAAATATCCAGAAAATACAAACTTTTGATGAGTCCATGGACTGTACAGTATATATTTTCTCTGTAATGTTAACACCTGGTGTTTTTTTTTTCTTAACAAGAAAACAAAGCAGAAAGATGGAAAGTGGCAACCTGTCAAAATACTATGATAATAGGGAAATGTATGTGTTATTTATTTTCATTGTGTAACATTTTGGATTTGCTATTTCACAAAAAGGGGTGGTGTTTTTTTTTCTCCTGCCCTTTGATAAAACATTTAAAGAAAATATAGAGAATGACAATGTAGAATCCTTTGAATAAGATTAGTTTTAATTTGGGTTTTAGATACATACTTGTTGAAGAATAAGCAGAATATATTTGAAACAGCTACTGAACTGCTTCCCATGGATGTTTTGGGAAAAAGGGCTCCTTTATATTTAAAATCTAAAATCTTTTAATGTTACCTCATAATCTTCTCTTCCAAATTGTCTGGGAATCACATGTGATTAGATGTCTGCTTTTACATATAATGTAAAATACAAAGATCAATTCTCACTTCTTTACTGAGTGTAAGATAATTGTTATGAATCTAACATCTTTGGGGGGGGGAGGACAAACTCCTACGTGCTGTACATAAAAATGAGGAAGGTTTGTTTCTCGTGGGAATACCTTTAATTCTCTGTCAACTTTTATATTTTCACCGTAACCCTACACTTATTTAAGCAAAGTGAATTAATTCCAGTAAGAAAATCACTGCTTATAAAAGGGAAATAAGACTGAAAGGCTAAAATAATGTATACACAACACAGCTTGTACACAAAAAAACACTGAAATGTCTAAATGTATATCCTCAGGTGTTGATGGAAAATTGGTGAAAATTGGAGGTACAGTATATTGACAGATAATTTCTAATGCACCATGCTATCCCTAGTGGTGTATGATATATTGGATCAATACATAATGGAATATCCTAGATTGTACAATTCAATCTTCAGACTTAAACACAATTAAACATGTATTTTAAATACTGAAGAAAAAAAGTCCAAAGAATCCGGGAATAGGCAAGAACTCAAAATGGTGAAAGAAACTCGAAGTATAAGCGCTACAAAGAAACTCAAAATATTACAAGAAGAATTTGAAGAGATCAATGGATTGCAGACTTCATGTTATTGCCAATCTTTGTTCCAACACTGTCCGTAACAACGAGATGAACTCTGGCTCTGTTCAGGAGCTTGTCCACTTGCTCAGGGAGATCTACAATCTAGGCACTGCATATGAGATTCCCTATCACTTGTGCACATTACACTGTCTACACCTTTAATAATCAAGTTCCCCACAGCCACTACTTCCCTTTTACTAGGGGCAGAGCTCAGATCTGTCTACAATATGGCCTGGAAACTGTGGAAACAATCTCTAGTGATGCAAACCCTTCCTTGAGGCTTTAGCCTATTATCACACAGTTCTTTTTCCCGCTCATAGATCTGAGTGCCGAGATAATCAGACGGGGTCTCAAGTCCTTTGATTATAAACACAACAGACTCAATATCCCAATAGCCAATCATCCTGCAAACACTCTCTGCAATGGCCTCCTAATGACATTTCTTTCTTCTTGTTTATTAAATACCCCTTTAAACCCAGACCAAGGTTCCCAAAACAGAGATTAAGCATTTAGATAATTGACAATGCATACACAACTTTAATGTTTAACATGTTGCTTTTTTCACATTAAGAATGAATACAATATCTTATTTAAAAACATAAGAGTTAAGGCCTAGGTATTGTCAGATACCCACTCTTTTCTGCTGCACTGTACATATAGACTACTATACAGTATATACAGGGTATGTGGATTGTTTTATTGTTAAAGTTGCAGCCTTTAAAAGTAATTAGAGTGTACTCCATCACCGTTTCTGTTTCAGATAAGCCACACAGCTCTTAATACTCTGTCCGGAATTGATCAGATGTGATAAATGTCATAAATTAGCTAAATGTTAAAGCCGAAAGGTTAAAGCCGAAAGGACATATTCCCTGCAGCTCAACTAAAGTCTTTCACCAAACTTAGGCAACAGCAATAGCAATTGAAGATCTAACTGAATTTAGATAAATGGTTAAGGTGCACAGCTCTAGAACAGGAAGGTGTTCCTGTGTGCCCGTAAATAATAAGCGTGCAGGATCATCAAAGCAGAGTAAGAATGCGAGTCAAAGGGTCGGGACATTCCACATCCTTTTAATCAGCCATACCATACATGGAAATGCTCGCATGTCAGACGGTGACGTATTCGTACAATCCCAAAGACAAACATAGGATATCAATTCAATCGGATGGAGCTGCCTGGAAATTTCGGCAGGCGCTCACTTGGCTAACTCACTGGAGCGGGGACCACCCTCTGATTACAAAGGGTGATAAAGGCACCTCCCTTCGCATTTACTGTTGCATTGCACTTTTATTTCCAAAAGTACGATCTAGCCTGTCGTGCTTTTCGCAGCTTATTTTTCGCTTCCCTATTGCTCAATAAAAAGTGGTGTCTGTAATCTTACTGAGACTCGTAGCTTTCACTTTTCCTAGTCTGAAGGCATGCCTCTGCGAATTGTTCTGAATGGTCCCGGACCATGGGGATTCCGTCTGGTTGGAGGAAAAGATTTCGAGCAACCTTTGACCATTTCACGGGTAAGAAGCTTATTTCCTCCCCACTTACAAGTTTTTCAAATGTTTTGTCATTTTATCCTTCATAAATACATTTCTCTCCCGGTAGTTTAGTCGCAAGTCTTCTTCACTAGGAATTACTTAGAAAGCAGGATAAAACGTTTTTTTTTTTATTGCAAGGCTACATATCAAACGAAACAATACACAAACAAGATAGAAAAGAGAACTACGCCAAAGACTGCAATATCATACAGTATTTTACACAGCATTGATTCTGTATCACTATGTGGATACTGTTGCAGCCTTTTAATTATTGATGCGCTGTATTTGAATTGTGCTTTTTAAATTTTTTATCACGAATAGCTTTTTAGGAGAATCAGGCAAAGGAGGCAGTGGGTAGTAACAGTAACAACCCGTTAACAAGACGTGCCTGTTTACCTGTTTGAGTTTGAGACGGGGGACACATTTTAAGGAAAAATTGTGTATCTGTTACATCTACTACAACCTCTACTTCAGGAAGCTAGTTTATTTTGCTATGAAGCGCTAGAATGGATACTGGTTGTCACCCACTGTACCTCGGTAATAATTGTGAGTAGTACATACTGTAAATGGAGTGCCCTCCACACAGAATGCCTTGCACAGGACATTCAGGATACTTATTGCTTCAGTCTTCTCATACTTTTTGTCTTTCCTGAGACTATCATTGTTCACCAACATTTCTAAACCATACCTTTCAGTGGTTGGGATGGAATTATAAAGTAGTACTTTTCGTTTTACTTCACATAACCCTGAGTATTTCCCAATGGCTGATATTTAAGACCTATGAAATTGTGTGAAGTCTATAAGATGCAATGGATTTATGCTGATAATTTTTAGTGGAGGGTCTATGTTTTGGAGAGCTATCAAAGTTACGTAGGTGAGAAAGAGCCATTCTGACTGCTCTGCTCATGCAGTGCCCCAACACATGAAAGTCTTCAAAAAAGGTTAAGCAAATAAAATAAAGATGGCATTTAATCTTTTTCTTACTACCTCCCAGGAATTCTTATTTTGTATTTCTTGAATTGTCTTAAGGACAAACAAATAAAACATCAATATTCATACTTTCTAGCTAATTTCTTATTCCAATTAAAAAGCATGGAAAATAAATAAACTAAAGAGTGGTGTACTGTATAAACTACCCGGGTGCTTACTTTTTGTTTACCTTTATTGGTATTGACAATGAAGGAGTGTACTGTGTAAGTCCAGTAAATCTCCAAATAAGAAAGACTAAATGGTGTACGTCAATTACTGTTACAAAAGTTCCATGATTAGGGTAAAACAAATGAAGTTTGAAACAAAACTGCCTGATAATAAAAAAATGCCGACACACAATAAATCTTAAGCTGATTAAATGCCCGTTCAAAAACTGGAAATATTCTCATAGCTAAAAGCATAACAAAAATATATATATATTTAACAAGCAGTTCAGTGTTTTTCATAAATGGTTAGTAAACATTGGTTGTGTATTGATGTACAGTATTCCTTCCACATACTTGACCAAAGCTGTGTAAGAGTATGAAAACATTCATTTCAAGTAAATGTGCAAGAACCATTTGAAGTATCACTTCTTTTATTGTACTTAAAGCTCTTAGTTGCTTAACAGTCCTTCATTTAATAGAAATGTTATACTGTGTATATATAAGCATTCTGATATCTTCTGCTTGTACAAAAGCCCCTTTGGATATTTAACAGTAGAGTGTATTAGAAGCTCCTATCTGCATGTTACACTTTGCTGCTGAATTGCATTTACATTGTCTCTGCCAGGGTACTAACAAAACTTTCTTTTTCCTTTTAAGCTTAAATGTATATACTGTAATAATGAAACATTTCTTTGTGGTTTACAGGTGTTAAGCCTGTACAGTTCACTGTGTTCTGTGAAATAAATACCAATAATTTTGAATGGAGAGCTATGTTAACTGAATTTGGATGCAAGGGAAGAGGTAAAGGTTAAATCTACGTTGAGTAGTGCAAGAAAAGAAAAACATTTCAGCTGCTATGTCATGTGACAATTGGGAAGACTTAACAGCTTAAGTTTAACAGCTGAAATGTTACATCTTTTATTTCTGCTTTTGATGACGGTGCAATACTGTACATACTTCAGTGTTAGAGCCTTGTCAAAAATAATTTACTCGTGCCTTATTGTGTGCCACACCTTTGGTTTCAGTCTTCCTCAGATTCATTTGTAGTCGGCACGCTTTCCTCACCTTGTGGTTTTTCAGAAATTTGTGGACATGTCTGCTCTCGCAAAAGTGGTCTTAGCTTAACAGTTTTGTGTTAGTTTTTTCACAAATGCTGATAAGGTGCATGGTTGAAATAGATTTAGAAAAACAGTTGTGAACATATTTTCCAAGTTGACTGGTTTAAAGAGGGGGTGGAGTTGTGTTAGTAGTTTTGAAACGTTTTCATAGGTTTTAAAATACATTTTAATTGCATCAAATAGAAACTAGCAGTAAATGCAAAGACCATACATCCTAGGAAACTGTTATATTCTACTTATGAGTTGTAGTGTTGTAACTGAAATGAGGGAGAAAATAATTCAAACCAGTTGTTTTGAGTCTTAATATCTTGTTGATATGCAGCATTTTTCATAACAGCTTTTTAAAAAATTGTTGGTTTCCTTGTTGCCTATTATTGAGAATGTGTATATACTCAAACATCGGTTATTGCCTTTCACAGAAAAACTAATTAGAATTCAAAGTTGTATTTCATAGAAGGTTGTTCTTAGGATAAAAGTGGCTTGCAGGAATACATGAGTGCCCTTCTTTACCAGCTATGCAATGTGTATCTCAATGGCTAGATCTGTGTAAAGGCATACTGTCGTCTTTTCGATGAATAAACAAGTACCTTTAAAATAAACCATCGTAGCCCAACTAGAAATTATGCAACAGTGTAGTGTTTTTACAGTGGGGCACTGTAAAAAGTGTTGAAATGTCCACAAAGTGTTTTTAATGCTATGTCCAATCATAACTGTATTCATTCTGTTAGTGAGTCTTCAGTGCACAATGTGGTATCAGTCAATCTCCCATGGTGCCCTACTGTGTTTTGTTAGCTGAACTGACAGTGCAGTTATGTTAAACTTCTTTATCTTGGAACAACAGTCACAATGACCATGTTTCCTGATTGCTAAATTTGTATTGCATGCAATCACTAGGGGCTGTGCTGTTTATATTTTTCAAATATGCTTTTTTAATCTTAAGAAGTTGAAGTAAATTATTCTGATGAGCAAAAATGTAGGCATCCCTGGTCAAAGTGTCTGTTTCAGTGAATCTATAAGTGAATATAAGTTGACAAAAGATCTGCCTGGTACAAACTTAAACATGACTTTCTGTCTGCAAATTTAAATTCACAATTAATGTTTATAGCATTGTAGACATTCAAAATAATAAAACATTGAATATGACATGTCCAAACGTACTGTACTTATTGTAGTAACACCTCCATTGGTAGAAATCATACCTTCCAAATGTTTCCTGTAGCCAGCAAAGAGTCTTTCTATTCTTGCTTTTGGATTTTTTTTCTACCTCTTCAATCTCAGAAATATTCTTAGGTCTTCTTGCATGCACTGCATGCTTGAAATCCACAGATTCTCAATGATATTCAAGTCTCGGAACAATGAAAGCCATTGCAACACCTTAAACTTTTGCTCCTGTAAGTACTTCATAGTTGGTTTTGAGGTATGTTTCAGATCGTTTTCTTGCTGTCTTGCTTTTCAGCTTTACTTTCGGCACTGAGCTTCTAGGATCTGTTCATATTTAGTTGAATCAATGCTTCCATCACCCAATATTTCCTGTGCCACTGGCTGCCACACAATCCCAAAGCAAAATAGATCTAACCCCATGCTTAACAGATGGCAAGGTGTTCTATTTTTCAGGTGTTTCATTTCTTTATCTCCAAATGTGACCAAAGAGTTCAATTTTCATTTCATCAGTCCACAGCACTTTGTTCCAAAAGGTTTCTGGCTTATCAACATTTTGTATTGCTTACTTTAAAACTAGTGGTTCCCAATCCTGGTCCTGGTAAACAAAACACTTGCAGGTTTTTATTCAATACCACCTTACCTAGATAATTGAAGCCTAACTTAATCTTGAAGTTGCTTCAATTGTCTATTTGCATTTTGTATCTAGTCCCAATATCCCAAATTAATTTCACTGGGAACACTGTTGTTATTATTGTAATATTATGGATCATTTTTGTGAAGCAACGCTGTTATGTGGACCTGTAGGCAACTACTCCATTGTCAGTTAAACTCTGCAGGTCCATTGCAGTGAACTGTGGGTTCTGCTTTGCACATCTGACCAGTTTTTGAGCAGTTCTATCTGAGAGTTTTCAGGGTGTTCCATATCTTGCCTTGTCTTCAGCATTTCCCTTTAACTTCCATTTCTTAATGATCCTTCTGACAGTTGTAATTGCAAGCTGGATGCCTCTAAGAGACATTTTATTGCTTTCTCATGCTTTGTAAGATTGAATGATCTTTATTTTCCAAGTCCTCTGACACCTACTTATACAGTAACCGTGACTTTCACTTACTTGTGTGACAGCTCATGGTTGTTGAAAGAAGGCACAACAATCACAACCTGAGAGGTTAGAAGGGTGAGTATTTGTTCACTTGACTTATTTTAAGGCCTAATATGTCGGTGAAGTTGTGGGGCCTATGGAAAAAATTACATTAAAAAAAGTAGTAATGAGTTAGCTGGAATGGTGCCC